CTATAATCAATGGTAATTATAGTTTTATGAGTTTTCAAAGATACTATTTTTATGAAAAAAACTTAAAACCCTTTAAAAAGTAATTTATCAAAGCCTTTTAATATAATAATAAAAACCAAGCAATTTACTTTAAATTACATGTATAAAAATAAACTACAAAATTGTTATTATTATATACTATTTATTTCATAAAAAATAAATATTAGAAAAATGTATGATAAGTAGCTGCTGTTGTTGTGAAGTATATAAAACTCATCAAAAATTTTATTTTTTAGATAATTAATTAATTTTCCAATACATACTAATCATAATGAATTGGAAATCAGTTTTTATATTAAGTTTTATTAGTCTTTTGCTCTCTCTCTCTCTCTCTCTCTCTCTCTCTCTCTCTCTCTCTCTCGCAATGCATTAATACATGTATTACATACATTGTTGACATAAAATAATTGGTTGAAAATATAGCCAAAGGCTTCAACTTTGGGGTAATTCATGTTTAGTTAGATATAGTGAAAGAGAGTCTCAAATTATTTTTAATCACAATCTCAGCCCATTTGTATAATTAATTAATTTTATATTTAATATATTTTTTTCAATTAATTAATTTTGTTTAAAGATATGTCAAATTTCAATGCTAGCTATAAAATTCCATATTAAAATAATAAATTATAAAAAACATATTTTAAAATGCAAAATTGTTTTAAACTTAAATATGAGTTTTAAATTATTATACAATTAATAGAATGGTAATGTTTAATGTAATAAGAAAATACATATTTTTACACAATTTTATTTTTAAATTAAACAATTCAAATATATTATTTGTATAATTCATATATTTTTACAAATAATACTACTGGTGAAACAGTTTTAATAGATAAAATATATAACATTTAAATTTCATAATATAAGTTATAAATTATAACAATTTATTCAGAGTTTTGTTGGTTTTGTAGCAAAAACTGTCCACTACTCTACATATTCTACTATATTTACATTTCAATAGATCTCTCTCTCTCTCTCTCTTCTCTCTCTCTCTCTCTCTCTCTCTCTCTCTCTCTCTCTCTCTCTCTCTCTCTCTCTCTCTCTCTCTCTCTCTTTCACTCACAACTATGCCAGTATATATACTACAATATATCCAGTATATGTCGTCAACATATTTAAAGTTAACAATAAGGCAAATGTTAATAAATCTTTGCTCAAACAGACCTTTTTTCTCTCTCACACCGCGTAAAGGACTTGTTTTGTGTCATATATAATATAAAACATGAGAGAAATTATTGTAAAATTAAACAATAAGTTTGGGATCAAATGCCTTATGATATGGGGATATGTTGTGTATATACTGTATATAAATATGTTGGCAAAAGGCGTTCAAACAATTATTATTTCTCTTATAGTTTTGACACAACTAAACTCCACTATTTTTTTTATTATTGTAAATATATATAGTTTTACTGATGTTTATGACTACTAGATTTTCATTTTATTTAAATGAAAGTCATATGAAAAACAATTTTCAATAGCAATAAATAAATCACAATTTGCTTATTTAGGCGTTCAGTTCAATCAAATAAAAGGATACAAAACACTGGCTTTCAGTTCGTTAAAATCAAACGATAAGAGACTGTATAATACAGTTATTACTTATATATTTTTATTCAATGCATTCATTGACACAACCATTAGTTTTAATGATATAATAGTTGTTAGATTTAAATTTAAATAAAAATCATGAATAATATTTGCTATACAATTATAACTTAAAAGTAAATACTATATAATAATAAATTTAAATTTCTTTAATTTATGATTATTTAGTGGACGTACTGAAAAAAAATATTTTATTATAAATATGCAAATAATAGTTTTAAAACTTTCATAATAACAATATTAACTATAATATGTTCTATAATATTATAAATTATAATGTAAGTAATAAACTGTATTTGTTGTGAATATAAATGCAATATAAAAGTAATTGTATGCTCAAAAAATATATCGAAAATTTCAAACTTAATATCAAGTTTGCAATTGTCAATCAATAGTATTTATCGATAAAAAAGGTTATTATAAAACTATTAACAGAATTTCAGTCAAACTTATCGGTTATGGCTTTGATAAAGAAGTAGTCATTGGATATGATAGAGAAGCAGATGTGTTGACACTCATCGCCAACCATTGATATATATATATATATATATACTGTATTTATCTATAATATCACTATTTAGTAACTATTTGTTGGTAGACAACAATTGTAATACATTAATATATCATTAATCACATATTGTATGACATGTGACAACTGGGCTAATCATTAGAGCAAATAGTTATACATTTTGTCATCACTAATAAGTTATGACTTACATTACATAGAGTTTAGCAAATAGAGAGTCAAATCAATTGTTATTCAATTGGATTCGTTTCTCTCACTTAATATTAATAATATTTTTCTATTTGCTATCTATGAATATAATACCATATCATATGTAGTTTTGATTTATATCAATACATCTATTTATATTTTATTGATGAATATTTTTGTTGCATAACTTGTTATATGTGGTTATATTTTGTCGACTAACTAAATATTTGAGTATTACTCTTAACTATTACATATTTACATTACATCTTAAGGCTATGTTATTATATTTAATAAATTTAGTAAACTATTCAATAATTTTCCGCTAATTTTCACGGATTTAAACTAATAAATCATAATTATTTAAATAAATATTCAACAAATATTTGATAATATTAATACATTTTTTGTTAACGTATATGTTTTTTTATAGAAAATTACATTAAAACAATTTCTAATTATAAAATTATTATTAATTATAAATACAATAAAATATACCTAATTTGCATTTGAAAATATAATTTACCATAATACAATTTTGTTATATTATACGTTTTAATATGTGAATATTGTGTCAACCAATGAGTTATACAATTATTAACTAATTATAATCACATTAAATGTTAATTTAATTGATATATAATAAGATTTACAATCAAAATGTAACTACTTATAAATTTTATACTTATTTATATATATATATATATATATTAGTTCAAATATTTTTATGACAATGACATTATAGTAAACCAGTGAGAATGCTATATAGCATTGCCAGAAACAAACTTTGATGGCATAAATTACTTCTTATACAGACATATTTTAACCAATTGTTGCAAACCATTAGTTAATATGAATCATATTATATGTTAAGCTCACAATCATTCCAACACTTTTGAATCCAAAACAATAAAATGTCTGTATTTGTCAATGTATTATAAATTAGATGATGTAATCTATCGTATAATAAACTGTACTATTGTTATACTCAAAAGTGTAGGAATGATTGTTAGCATAACGTATAACCAAAATATTCATTGTTAATAACCACTAGTCTGTATGAGTCATATTATACCCAAAATAATCATTAATAAAATAAGTTAATTATTATGAGTCATATTATATTAATCTCATACTAAAAATAATTATTTCTAATTTCATTCCTTTCAAACTTTTTAAAAATAATTTTGTCGACCATTTTGACTATATTAACGGCAACATAGGATAAACTTTTTAAAGATAACCCTATTCTACATTTGAAAGTTTCAAATGAATTTATAGTTAAAATTTAAAGTTTGCACTTTTTAATACTTTGGCCGCCATTTTGTTCCTCAAGAAATATGTCATTTTTGATGCTAATCCTTCAAAATTGTTGTCACACACAGACACACGTTATATACAATATAAATACATTCCAGAAAACATAACTTTCAAATTTTGTTTGAAAATTATAATAACATAAATTAATTTTAGTTTAACCCAATAGTCCCAAAAAGCAAGTCTCGTAACCGTATAATACATTATTTATTAATACTTTTACCACATTTATATGGAATATATAATAATTATCTAGATAATTTATTTTACTAATATTATCAATACATCCAAATTTTAGAAAATATTAAAACAATAAAATTATTAGCTATTTATAATGATAGAGAAATTGCTATACAATAAACTCATATCTATAGTTATAACCATACAATTAGTACAATTGTGGTAAATTGACTCAGATATACATTAAAAGTTAAATTTTATTGATATTGTGTAATGTTTTAACAACTTATATAATATAAGGCAATAACTGTATAATAAGTTACCTAGCTTAGCGTAAAGTTAACTTTACACAATATTACTTAAATTAAAAATTTTAATTGACATGATCTGTATAAGTAAACATTTAACAAACTTTAACTATTATATAAGTCAATTTGCCACAATAATTATTGTACTATTTGTACATTTTTAAATAAGCGGTATAACTTATAACGCTTATTAAACAAAAGTCAATATATGTTTTTTGGATTATATAAAAATTATTGTTAATAAAATTTATGCATAAATAAGTTTAAACTAAATTTTGTACATTTTTGTGGTCTAATTAAAAAGTGCACAAATTTTAGCTAATCGTAAAAAAAGTTTATTTTTATAATACACTATGAGTTTTATGTGCATTTTATAAATTATTTAAAATACAATAGTATAACTTATCATGTATGTTTTAGCACTATTATTAACAATTTATCAATTTATTATTAGGCTTAAATCTATAGTGTATTATAGACAGCCAGCAAAAAGTATTGTTTTTTATGCAGTTATACATATATAAAATGTTAGTTTTATTACTTAATTATTATTTAGTTAGATTAGTTTGGGGTTAGTGTGAGGCTAGGAAGTGGTTGGGTGGGTGGGGTGGGTGGGGTGAGTGGGTGCGTGTGTGTGTGTGTGTGTGTGTGTTTGGGGCAAATAATTGTCTATTATATAGATTTATTCCTTTTATAATTTATACATTATTTTAATACAGTATTACAGTATATACACTACAAAATGTAAATTTTGATTTCTGTATTAAACTTTAAGTATTGATAAAATAACAAATAAATAGTTACGTTATTTATGTAGAGATTATATAAATAATTGCAAACATTTGCAAACATGTGTTTATAGTATTGATATAATAATAACAGTAATACTGTATTATTGTATATATTATTGTATTAATAGTAATAAGTTTTGTCTTTAAGTAAACAATGATTGAATAGTTGGTCATAAAGTTGTTGATAATTGTTAGCCATTGATGACAGTCTTGTGATGTATCGATTCAGAAGTTGTCGTTTCATTGGTTTTTATTCAAATGCTTTTCACAATTTGTCAACAAATGGCAAACTTTGTGTCAATAGTCAGGTGTGGATCAAATCAAGTGTCAGGAGTTTGTGTTCATCGCAATCAAACAGTATTGATGTCCACAAGACATCCATCGGCAGCAAGAGTTTAGGTATCAAATAGCTTGTAATCTGTCCTTTAATTTGCTTACCATTTGTTTTAATTTAAGCCGATTTGCGAGATAAGAGGTTACATCAGATGAAGCGAAACCTTGCCGTTCAAGAATACGATGTCTTGACGGAAGCTATCATTAATTGCGTTACCATTGATCAGGTCTTGGATTTGGTCTCAATGCACGTCAATGTCATGAATAACCGACATATGGCCGATGTTTTTGAATCGTTGCACAACATTGTTAGGCAATCAAACAATTACGCTGAAGACTGTCTTAAGATATTGTCGTCCAAAGAGTTTAGCGATTTATGTAATCAAGCGATACGTCGGATGCGGTTCTTTCAAACATCAGATCTATTGACAACATTTAAGGCACTAATACTGTTGAGGATATCTCCAAACACAACGATTGTTCAAAGTTTGCTTCAAATGACACGACAACTGATTAACGACTTCTCGATCAATGAAATAATTTTTTTAGATTTTCTTTTAAACCGAAGACTAATTGAAAGAAATGATTCTTTAAATGAAACAGAAGTTGAGAACTGTATAAACAATTTAATATTTTTTTATATAAAATAATCCATAATTTAATTTTAAATAATTTTTATTTTAGTTGAAAATGAGGAGAATTTCTTAACCCGTCGATTACTTCAACAGTCGGTTAATGAAGAAAAGGAAACAAAGAAACCAACAATTGTTCCATTAATAGAAGCTCTTAAGTTAGCCATTCCTTTAGTACTTCAACTAAAGATTGAGTCAAAAGAGTTAAACTTTGATGACATTGATTTGGTAGTGAAATGTCTGAGAGCTGTGGCCAAACATAACCTAAAGGACGAAGTGATTGATAAACTAACTCTTGCGGTCTCATATAAAATCTTTGAGCTGACTGTTCCTCAAATGTTTTCGATAATTGCATCGTTAACATGGGTTCCCACACATAACACCAATGTTAACACAACACTTGTTCACCGAGTGATAAACCAATGTCTCGACAGAGTTACTGCTCCGGGAGTTATTATTCCCAGCAATACATCACACAATTTCATAATATCATTGATAACACATAAAAGACAGAGAGATTTCTATCATAAAGGACTCTACGAAATGGTCGCTAATTTAATCATTCAAAAACCAACTGAGTTTCATATATCAAAAGCAACGGCTGTGTTGAATACCCTGACCTCACACTATCACATCCATTACGGACTTCTTGATTTTGTAGCCAAAAAGATTGCTTTAAGAGATCCAGAGCTTATTGACAGCAAAAAAGCGTCGTTTACTAACATTTTAGGTTCTTTTGCTTTGCCAGCAAATTATAGACCAAATGAATCAAATAGTGATGACATTTATAAAATAATATTATCCACAAATCATATAAATCTATGTAAAGAGAAAACACAACATTTATTGTTTAAAATGTTGAAAAACTTAGCAATACTTAACTATTATCCCAAACAAGAAATCACTGAATGGTTTAATAATCACTTTAAGTCTGCAATATCCGGATCAACAGTAATTGGATTAAGGATTGATTTTTTGCAATCTATTCGATATTTATATCAAGGTTTATGTTTAGAAGCAAATCTAGAAAACATGGATTATTTGAAACATTCATTGAAAGCCTATGTCGACGAATTGGTTGAGTTTGAGATCAAAGAAGTAGAAAATGTTATTAAATCAGAAACACTAGAGTTTGCTTTAACACAAGGTTTAGGTGGCAAACAGTTTTTCGCCAACAATTTGTTTACCGGTTTTGGACATCACATCGATTATGTGCTCGCTATGAGAAAAGGAGGTTATCCTATAAATATTAATACAAATGATGAAAAGATATCACACATTACACAATTAAATTTGCCATCAGATGCTAAAATGTATTTAAATTATATTTTAGTTTTTAGATATTTTTCTAATATATTGTTAATTATATTTAGTTACGGAATTCTATTGTTGGATTTCAAAGACTATTGTCGAGAACCTGCCATCAAAAAAGGTGACACAGATTTCAAAATAAGGACTCTTAAGAAGTGTGGTGTGAATCCAATAATTGTAAGTTTATCTTATATTATATATTTTATACTATTGTTAATCCATTTTTACAAATTTATTAACAATTTGTTTTTTTAATGAAAAGATTAAATTGGAGAACTGGGAGCTATTAAGTGAAGTGGAGAAAGTGCCGTATATTATGAGAGAGATTAATGAAAACTCTAAATTAGAAGAACTACAAAGTAATTGTCGCTAATATTTAATACAAAAATTAAATTTAATTATATAATTCAATATTCTTATCAGTCATATTTAATTTAGTAAATAAATCTTGAGTTTTATAAATTTATTTTGAGTCTATTATTGATATTATATTTTAATAAACCAAAAATTGCTATATTGTTCATTAGTGTTAGTAGTGTATATAATTATACCATTATTTTAAGTAATATTTAATTGTTAATAAATCTATTTAAACAACAATTGGTAATATTGTCTAAATAATGTTAAATTATTATTACAAGTTTGCATTTTCAAAATTACTTTCCTAATCAAAATAGTTGATTTAATACCGGTTCTCATTTATCACTTGATTATTTTATAGTTTACTACATAAAATATTAATAAATTAAAGTAATTTATATGATAATATAATAATAATTATTATTTATTTATACAATCCTTAAATAATAAATAATAATTATTTTTTAACGAAAATAACACTACTTTCGTTGTATATATGTTTGACTGCAATACACTAATGTATTGCCATAAATGTATATTTCATTATTGAAATGTTTGTTTAATAACATGTAATATATTTTGTGGTCAATGAGTGTCGCTTTACTGCAATGCATGAAATGAATTCAATATAATTTACAATACAATAAATGAATGAATGAATGAATGAATGAATGCATTGAAGGCATCAATCGATTGACTCAATGATTGCTTTAATATTTGACTAAAATTGTTGTAAACAAACACAAGACTAAAGATATTTGAAGATAACTGAAGACATTGTGTTAATGACAACAAATGCCGTCAAAAGCTGAAGACATCCTCAATGGGTTTCGAGTGTAAGTTTGAATGTTTGTCAACTAATCCATTATTTGTTGTCATTTTTCTAATGTTTGTATTGATTGTCCAGAAATTGGATGAATTTAAGAGATGCGGACAACGGACAGATCATTTGGGAGGAGAGCACCGATTTGTATGATTATTGTGACCAATGTTTTGTCCACTAATTTATTGATTTATTTTTTTAGATCCAAACCTGACAAAGAACATGAAGGTTTGTATTTGAATTATCAATTGATTTCAATAATGGTTAACATATTTGTCAATATATATATCTTTTTGTTTAAATGACAGCTCGAGTGCCAAAAAGTATACTAAAATGTCGGGCCGTTTCCCGAGAGATCAACTTTTCTTCTATTGAAGCGATGGAAAAGTTTCGGTTAGAACAGAGGGTTCTCTTCAAAGGCAAATGTCTCGAAGGTTTGTCATTAAATTAGTCACTCATTTAAAAACATTTTTATATTAATTATCTTTAAATATTTAACTCTAAAGAGTGGTTCTTTGAGTTTGGATACGTTATCCCTAACTCAACCAATACGTGGCAATCGCTGATAGAGGCGGCACCCGAAAGTCAAATGATGCCGGCGAATGTACTCAAGTATGACATTTAATTATATTACTTGTAGTCATTAATTATCATTTATTTATATTTTAATCATATTTTTAGTGGTAATGTCATAATTGAGACCAAATTTTTTGACGACGACCTGTTAGTCAGCACTTCTAAGGTTCGACTCTTTTATATATGAAAATTAGACAAAGAGTTAGAGTCACACAACACATCTGTCGATAAATCATTAATGACAACCTCCTAACCAATTGATGTCCATTCCTCAGTCGTCCCTAACACACACATATATATATATATCTATGAAATCATTATTTAATTTTATTAATGTTGTTTGAGTTTTTGTTATTTAATGTATTTATAATGTCATTCAAATGAAAATTTTATATAAATTTGATTATCCGCTCTCTAATTATAATTGTTTATTATTTATTATTATTTGCTATTTTTGTTATTTTCTATTATCGATTACCTCAATGTAAACCTCATTTTCACTGATTGACTAAATTAAACAATTATTTCCTAATACACTACTTTGAGTTACAATACACTAAGTTTGAATCAGTTTTAAACATATTCAAAAAATATTGATTGTATTTATGTATCGATAATGTTTGTTACCTTATAACTCAATCAAATCAATATTTATTGTAACTTTATATTATAAGACTGAATTTATTGAACAATTTGTAAACTATGTGTGATTTTTAAAAATACCTAAAAGTTTTGCCGTAAATTCCTTGATAATTTTATATTTATTAAATTATCATTTGATTGCAATTTTTATATATATCAACGAATATAATAATAATACCACAATGTTATTGAAATTGTCATTTAATGTGATTTTTAGAATAATAACTGAATTTAATTAAATTTACCACAAAATAATAAACTGATAACTGGTAATAAATAATTTAAATTACCGGTAAATAATAATTGTTTAACTTCAATTACCAGATATACAGTACTGTACACTACTTTCCAATAATAATTGTAATCTACAGTAAATCTGTTATTTTAAATATAATAATAATAAAATGTCGAAAAAAATTATTGTTTTTTTTTAATTTCAATTTAATTATAATCTAAATGTTTTAATTATTATTATTATTATTAATTTATATTTACTACTATTATTATTATTATTATTTACAACTAAAATAAGTATAAAGTATGGGATCTGTCTATTTTAGTAATTACTTTGGATCACCCATTTCTCTAAATGTCTTTTCATTGACCACATAGTCTTTCCATCCCTCGTAATGATTCTTAAGGAACTTCCAGTCTTCGCGTTCGACTCTCATATGATAGGCGTCGAGATGTCTGTAATACCACGACTGATAGTCCGATCGATCTTTCATGAAGTCTCTGACCATTCTCTCAATTTTCTTGAGTATAATTTTTTCCGATTCTTCATTAAAGTATGCGACCATTTCTTCATAATCGTGTCGTTTATCAGGCATTATATTTTTGGCAAAAAATCTAGTGATCGGGTTCTGTATTGTAATGATTTTATATTAATAAAAATATAATCAAATGAAGACAAAAAAATGTTGATAACAAATGACAGACCCTTTCGTATTCCCAAACTTCAGGTTCATATCCTTCGGGAATTTCGGCCAACTCTGCGGGTCCGTAACGGATGCTCACATAAGTGGCAAAAATGGTCAGCGGTATGACTCCAAGCATTACATAAAAGTGCAGAAAGTCCTTGAATTTACGCCACGCATAAACCGATGGCCGCATTGGGAACTCTCCCGCATGAACCAGACGTACCATCGATTGTCTCGCATCGCGTCCTGCGTTTTGAACGGACAAATAAATAACAGTTATTATCATTAGTCACACAAACAATATATAACATTACTTTTGACGACCCGTGAGATGGTCTCAATTCTGGTCAATGTCTTCAATGTACTCAACACAACCATTTTGGTGACAATTAGGTGACCACTCTATGGCTTACTTTCAGATCAAATATAATTCAATATTTGTTTATACTTTTGTGTCTTCAATGGTATGATTGCTTCAGCAGTAGTGACACCTCTCGAGACACTTGACTTAAGTGACAAAACTGTGTCTCAACTTTTGTGACGACCGTCTTATCGGTGATTAATCACAAGTCATATGATATGAATGACTAAAATGTCTAACAATTGCTGACCTCTTGTCTGACCATAAGTTATACGACCCGATGGTTATAGACTTAGTCACTAACTCTTAGTGTAATCACAATCAATAAGTCCATCAAATGTTAACCAAATAGTGACATCTCTTAAGCAAATTGTGTTATATTTTGCAGACAATAATAATAACAAACATTTAATTAATTATAAATTCATTTTAGTTTCATTTTAATTGTTTTTTAAAACTTTTTAGTCATTAACTGATCCAACAATGGATTTGTTGGGCTCTATATTGGGTTCAATGCAAAAACCGCCGAAGACTAAGGCCAGTGAAGAACAAAAAATGGCTAAAAGTAGTGATTATTTGAATTTATTATTTCATTTCAATATAAACAACAAATTAGTTAAACAAATATTTTTACAAATAATTAAAAAATTAATATTTTATTATTAGATTCATTCAATTTGAGAGTAATTGTCATAAATTGACTCATAGTTTATGACTCATAAATGTATTATAAGTTAACATTAAATCAACTATTAATAGATAAGTTGACTATAGATTCAAATATTAATTCAAATATATTAACAAATAATATATGAATTGAATATTAATATAACATATACTCTATAATGAAAGCAATCGTATTATAAAATATATTTATTTTCATTGTTTGTCAAAATATTTGTGTAAATAATTAATAATTTATATTTAATTATTGATTATTTTATCTGTTATTGTATTGTCTCTGAAGAGGCCAATGAAAAGATGGAAGAGATTCGCAAACATGAGAGACAACATATGCATAGATTCAGACAAAATGTATTATATCTTCATTTTATTTAACTATTAATTGATTTTATTATTCATAAGATTGAAGAGCAGATCAATAAGTTTATGGCCAACGACTCGGAAACAAAAGTTGAGTTCAAACCGATGGACAAAATGCACAGATGTATTATGTAATGAATGATAACATGAAATACCACCGATGGTTATGTTTTTTCATATCTAAATGTTGTCTAATTTGAATATCAGTCACGACGTGGCAGAGATCGCAGGACTCAGCGCTTTCTCGTTTGGCACTGAAGACGTAGACAGACATATAGTGGTCTATAAGAAGGAGTTCACACCCAATGAGGACGAGTTAAATGCTCTGCGAAAGGGTGAAGAATACGATCCGAAGAAAGTGGAACTAATGAAACAAATGGTTTGTTTTTTAGGCCAGAATTTTTAATTTTATTTTTGAAGTACCGGTAATTGATTTTCAGGAATTGGAAGAAAAGAACCAAAAGAAAGTCCACGAGAAGGATATTATTCCCAATAAAGATTTTAGAGACAAATATGAGAAGATTATTGGTTTGGACGCCGGCAAGAGTGCCGCTCAGGTGACCACACCTAACAAACAATTTGGTTTTGGTATGACTTTTGTTATACAATTTATTTTTTATTGTGTTATTTCATGAATTGTTTTGTCTTTTAATAACTATAGTTCCTTCAGCTAATAAACGAGACCAGAGATCAATTGAGCAGATATTAGCCGACAATAAGAAAAAAAAATTTAAGAATGAATCGGAAGATAATGTAAATTAAAGAATTATTTCGTGTTTTAGTCTTCAGTTCATTGTATTTATTTTGAAACTTTAATTACAATTATCATTGTTTTTCAAAATGATGTAAAATACTTACATTCATAAAACTTTAGTAATCTTTACTAAAATGATATCATAATTTGTTTAATAATGTAATTGTTTAAATATTTACATTTGTCAGTACTTTATTATAATAATTATAATAAATTTGTAAAAATTACCAATATATAATGATATAGATATAAATAAATCAATAATTAAAAATGTTTGTTTAGTATAGTTATTATTTAGTAAAATTTTTATTTTAATTATAATAATATATAAAGATTAAAGTTATTGTTTAGTTTTTTCGATAGGTTTGCAATCGTGTCGTGCCTTATACTGTGACAAAACATTACCTCTATCACCAAAACTGGTTACAAATATATTGGTGACGGCTATCAACACAACCATACCAAGGATGACATGATTGATAATTTTAGTCCATTTGGCCTCTTGTAGGGTCTGTTTGGATGTCTTACTAAAACCCACTATAAATATTAGAATTCCGACTGCAATCTAATTAAAATAAATATTTTATTAATATTTATTAATCATATTAGTTGTCAAGTTTTTAAATAAAATTTACTAATTGTAATTATTAATAAATACTAATTTCTATTGCTATTCTCTAGTTTTAATGTTTTAAAATTTCATTTTAAAAATTACTAATTTTTTATGAAATTATTTTTAACTTTTAATCTAATTTCCAATAGAAAGAGATTACACATTATTAAAGTATAGTGTAATATAAATTTATATAATTAATAAAATGATAGTAAAAGCCATATAAATTATTTGATAGATCCGTGACATAAATAGTTAATTCAGACTAATATTGATTCATAAAAAATAAAATTAAATATATTTTATAATTATTAATGTTTTGCTTGATTTTTTAAAATAACTAAATTGTATTGAAAATAACATTATTTAAAAATATTACTTGTAATACAAGTGATGTAAAGAGTAGTCCTAATAATAAATTATAATACTCGATATCATCCCTTCCCGTATCAAATATAAACTTCAAGTGCTCGACATCGGCCACAAAGAGAGCCACATCGAGAAATCCACCGGCGATTGTCATCCGATTGCTTACAATTGAGTCGGAGTTTATTGTGTGAACGCCATCATCGGGTTGTTCTTCACTGACAGATATAGCATCGGAGGACACATTCACTGGAGTGTCCGTCACTTCATTTTTTCCCAATGAACTCATCTTTTCATATATTTATTAAATATTTTGTTTTTAAAATTAATTGTTTGCATAAAAACTATTAACAAGTTTTCAATAACTAAAAAACGTAATAATTTCTAGTAAATGATATTTTGATGACATTTATATTGTCAAACAAACGTAACTATCTTATCATTTATTAAAAAACAAAGAGATTATCATTTATATTGAGTGCTATTTATAAAAAATGAAATAATTTTATGATATTGTAAAAAGTTTAAATATATGTCACAAAAAATTATTATTTATTTTTATTGTTTTTAATTATTTTTAAATTTATATTTTTATAATTTATTTCCTATCAAATATTTATATAATTTTGATTTTATTATTATTATTATTGGCAGTGATATAATTGTTAGTTAATTATTAGCATTACATATATATTAAATCTGAATTACTCATTTAACAAATATTTTTACTTAAAGTAAATATAATTTTAAAATGTTATTTATTATATAGTATTAATCATTTTAATGACAAATATAATTGATTGATTGGATTAAAATGAAAATAGTTTACACTATTTGGTATAAAGAGGGTAACGGTTTACTAATGAAATACTATTATTGATGTAATAATATTATTGCACTCATTGTATGGATATGTTCTGTGAATTAATTTAAAATTTAGGCACAAATATAACATAAAATCACAAATGATTTACATAACAAAAAAATATTGAATTAATTAGCATTACATCAATTTCTAAATGAATGAAAAAAAATTATCATAAATCGTAAATTTCTAAACTTGTTATCAAAAATTGTTAACTATTTAAACATATTTTCATTAAATATTAGTTTGATAAATATGTTGCCAACAATTATAATACAAATATTTCAATCAAAGGGTTGACACTTGTAAACTGCTAAACATCTCACACCAGTGCTTAACAGCTGATCACTGGTCATACCTTCAAATATTTATTACACGTTTACATATTTTTTTGTTTGAATATACAGTAGTTTTTAAGATATTAGGTCTCAAACCTTTCACAGATTGTTTTGTCCACTACTGTATATTACAAATACTGTACTGTAAATACAAAATACTGTAAAATCTGGATATTTTTTCAAAATTTTTACATTTTGCTTTTTTTTAGTGAATTTAGTAAAAGGAAATTGTGTTTAAATCAATCCTTAAAAGCATTAGTGAAAAATTAAAAATTCATAAAATAAGAAATTTTTGATTTTTTTGCATGTATTTTTGAAACTTCTTTCCACCTCCTTAATATTAAAGGAGGTGTCACCAGGTTAATTTTAGTTTTATAAACCCTAATTATTTCAGATTATTTCAAACTTTATTTGCTTAAAATATCTGTAATACTTTTCAAGTAATCAAAGTTTTATTTATTCCGCTTTATGTTTTACACGGTATTTTAAATGTAGTTTTCAATATATGTTATATACAGTACATGAACTGATTTACTTTAATATTCAATGAAATATTTAAATATTTTGTTAGAAATTGTATTCTTGAAAATATTAGATAAATAAAATAAATAATGTTCAATCAAAAACGAGTCTAAGGTATTTTGTAAATAATTTTATGTTTGATATAAAAACTTTTAGCTATAATACTGTATATAAATTATAATAAATTGAGATAAAAGGAAAATTGCAACAAAAGTATACACTGACTGACATAAGTGGAGTATACAGTAGTTTATCATTAATTAGAAATTATAAGCATTTGTTTGTAAGTTTAAAAATAAATATTTTTATAAACAATATTTTTTGTTATTATTGTTGATTGCGTTATTGTAATACATTATTGGAAATAAATTTATATTTTATTTGAATTTTATAATAGAATAGTAACTTTAGAATTTTTCTATTATAGTATATTTTACATTTAATTGGTTTTATGTATACTACAGTATAGTGTGTGAATATTTTTACTATATCAGTAAATATCAAGAATAATAAAAATAATAATAATAATAATAATCAGTTGTTTTTTTATACAGCATTGCATTCAATTATATAACTATTATTCTTGCATTACAATAAAGCATTGCTACCCAAGCGAGAATCGAACTCACAACCCTCCGATCGATTGTACGATTACTGGTTCACTGATTACTGGTCTGCTGTATTTAATATTTGATTATAATTTGATTAGTTTTATAGAAATGACAAAATTAATTGTTTTACATTACCAAAAACAACCAACAAATCATTGAAATTTTTATATTAAATTATTTTATTTTTATAAATGACAATTATAGAATTGTAGTATATTTTAAAAAACAACTTACTGTATGTTCATTATAATGATTACATGCTTTTTATATTTTTTGTAAAGTGTATGACTTTGCATTAAAAAAAGAAAATGTGGTTTTAAGAGATATTTTTAGTAATTAAAAAATAGATTTTTAAAGTTAACATTTACTGTACTACTGTTTGTTCAATAATATCACTGAACAGTTGATTAGTGTATAAGAAACTTAAAAAGGGAACTGTCGTTATTAAACAATACAACCCTTATTTAAATAGAATAACTGAGCCCTAACTGTATAAGACTACTATATAGTTAACTGGAAAATAATTGTATTGAATTGTCTGAATTTACTTTTGTATTAAATGTACTTTTAGTTATTATTTTTATGATTATACTATATTTTTGTGAATGTATTTATGGATATAATAGCAATAATATTAGTGTAAGAGTGCGGTCCTAATGAGCGCAAATGTTTTCATTGATTTGTGAGCTAACTTTAGCAATAGTCATCAATGGACATACAATGGGCTAACTTTCCTCACTTTACTAGTGATTGGTGTGTCCTGTGTTGAGTGGCTCTCTTGTTATCTAACGATTCACACATATATATCACATACCAATTATAGTAAAGGCGTTGAGAGACGTGACAAACACCGGCTTTTGTGTCACGTCGGCGGACGGCCACTGAATAGGGAGAACTATCGTACAAAACGGTGCATCTAATGAGGCCTTGTATGACATGAATTGGCGGTTCACTCGTTTGCTAATAGGGTAGACATGATTTTGCACAGTTATCATTGCTAACAAACAGTCACTTTGAAAATCTTAACGATGTCACAGACTATGCCAATACTGTCTAACAATAACTAAATATACATTAAGTTATCTATAGATTTATAAAGAAATTCTGTATATTCTGTATATATATTATATTGTAAATAATTGTTTTATATATTTTCTTTTGTTAAAAATAAACTATAATGAAGTGATCGCTTATATCAAACTATTTATTATATATAATTGAGTCAAATAAAAAAATTTTTTTTGTAAAAATAAAATTGAAATTAACTTTATAATTCATCATTTAAATTATTCAAATAAAAATTTTATAATTTTATTTTTATTAAAAATAGTTATTAAAAAATATTTTGACATTTAAAAATATATAAAATTTAGTTAATTAATGTATATGAAAACAACATTGATTTGTAAAGACGATGAATACATTAATTATTTTATTATTTATAAAATTATATTTAAATAATTAAGTTATTTACCATTGTGATTTTTAAAGATCACAAATTATTTCTAACTAAAAACAATTTGTAAAAATATAAAATAATTATGATATTATAATAAATTTATAAACAATATATAATATACTATTTCTAATATTTTAAATAATATTTGTACAAATTGTACATGACACTTTATAGTTATTTTTACTACTGCACAGTATATTTTATATACTTGTCAAAAAATGTTTCAGTTATTTTTACAAATATGAATAAAGTTTTAATTAAAGATTTAAATAAAAATTAATATTATTTATTTTTTGAATATTTTTCTCTTAATTTAATAAATATTTAAATTATTTACAACAATTTTAAATTATAATTAAACAAATGTAATGCAGAGATAACTGTTTATATATAAATGTATATATAAAATTAATAATATATAATAAGTTATATACTAATACTGATTATTATAATAATATATTGTTATTTTTTATTTATTGAAATATTGTTTTAAAAAAGTTAATTGTTAAAAAATTAATAGATTTTATAATTTTCTTTTAGCTAACAACTGCTGAGAATATTATTAAAAATATTGAATTCAATTTATTTTGGTTTAAAATTTATCATTTCTACATATTGTATAATATTTCTTATTATAGTATCAGTTATAGATATAAATAGTTTTGTATTATACAATATAAAGAGATTGTCTATATGTTAATTGTAATATATTGTGAGGGATAGGATAATATAGATGCATTAAATAAATTAAATTTTAAATAATAATCCATCTACTTTGTGATAAAAATATTTATAAATTATAATTCTATAATATTTTTATTTGTTTATTTTGTTTTGTTATTTAAAGTTATTGCATTTTTATTGCTTAATAATTGTTAAATTTTGTGTACAAAAAATAAACTAAAGTACAGACAATCACTTTAAGTTAATTAATATTTTTAAGATATATTTAATTATTTGAGTTAACAAATTAAAAATTATAAAAATCAATGTCCTATTTAAACATACATTCGGTACAATCGATCATAAAGTACTCAAAATGTTAAATTATATCTAAATTAAATTATATTTTCAAATATAGATAATTAAATAATTAAATTAATAAATATATTATTTACACCAAAAATATACTCATTTGTCAAAATTAGTCAAAAACTGCAAAAACATGAATAATTTTAATATAAAAAAAAATTAATTAAAATTTTCCTGAATATAATTACATTATAAGCTACTAGTAAAGCATTTTTAGACACAAAAAATAGTTAATTATTACAAAAATTAAGTAATGAGGCGCTCATATAATCAGTTTTACAAAAATGATGGCAAATGTGTGCATCAATTGGAGATTTAGAGACTGTCGGTGTTGTCATTGTGAGTGTCGGTATACTAGCTGTAGGTGCTGTGCAAGCAATTGGCAATTTGTATAATAAGCTCAGCCAATCTCCACTTTGTTATTACTTTTAGTTTTTTCATATAAACACTATTTCAACCCAACGGCCATACCGTAGAAAAGACGTGAGCGACCAAAATATGACACACACACACACACACACACACACACACACACACACACACACATACATACATACATACATACATACATACATACATACATACATACATACATACATACATACATACATACATACATACATACATACATACATACATACATACATACATACATACATACATACATACATACARACACATACACACACAYACACACATACACACACATACATACACACACATACATACATACATACATACAAACATACATACATACATACATACATACATACATACATACATACATACATACATACATACATACATACATACATACATACATACATACATACATACATACATACATACATACATACATACATACATACATACATACATACATACATACATACACATACAAACTCATTCACTCACCCACTCATACACATCTTTGTTTAAATATATGTATCCTAAGGTCAACTATAGCTATATATTAGATGTAATGGAGAAATAAAAAGCTGGAAAAAGATGAATACGAATTGAGATCTATATTATGATGATTGCCGTCAAAAACGTTTGTTTAAGTAAATATACTGTGAATACGGCTTACACACAGCACATAGACTTGAGAGTCAAACAGTACTCAAACAGTGTATATAAAAGTTGGTATCGCTATTACATAAGAGCAACGCCTACCCATTCAGAGCTCTCCTCCCTTTCCATTGCTTTCAAATTGAGAGGAACAGCCAATTATTGACTTGAAATCGATTGGAGGGCACGGACTACACATAAATGGATAACAAGTAAATAGGAAGAGATGACACTTTTACAGACACCACAATACAAAACTAACATCTCATATGAAGTAACTGAGCTTTTAGTCGACTACTAAAAACAAGTCACTTGTAATCATTTATATGCCAATCGGTATCATTTGAGTGCACCGACACTCACATCGACACCATTTATTAAGTCTCTCACATGTGTTCACCGCTATGTGTCAGCAATTTAGTGGCGCCGCCGACCACCACATCATCGCCTACTTCTCACTTACCGCACGCCATTCAGTCCACTAATTATTTTCAAGCACATGGCCTCACTCGGACAGGACCAGTGGCTCATCATCCACATCACACAAGTTTACTATCTCCACATTCAGGTCCATCGGGTGCACACTGTTTCTCGAGCACTGAGTCATCAGTGGCCGCCAATGCCGCCCGACTCGCATATTTGCAAAACTTTAATTCGCCGGCAGCGGCGGCCTTCATATCGGCCAGTATGCAGACCATGCATTCAGGCCTACACCCGACACAAGTGGTGACCAATCAATGTATTACTAGTCCATCTGTGAGTGCATCTATACCTTCGATGTCAATGTTCCACACTTTTAATAACGACTCCAGTATTTCTCCGCGAACTGACTCGGCTGTCGGCTCAGGTATGCTATCATTTAATTGCAATTTATTACATAATTTTATCAAATTTGTTATAATTTTGATACAATATTTAGTTTTTATGTAAACTAATTAACATAAATATTCTGCACTATTAAACTTAATCGTAAATAAATAATAAAAAGTGTGTTTAAAATTAGCAATTTATATAAAGTAGTTGATTATGTCATTAAGTTTTAGTTATAAAAAAATAACTTCTTTATTATGAAAATAATTTGCAGTTTTTTATTACAACAATATTCACAATTTAATTCAAGACTAAACAAATATAAATTGCATTCAATTCTTTGAAAAGAAATGATTGTACAGAATATTAGGGTTTAAATTCATAAAAAGTTTATTTGCTTTTTATGGCAATTGAAATGTTGATATAAAACCAGTGCATTAAAAATGTATGAATGAATTGAGTGAATGAATGATTATTTGAGTCTTTCACATATTTCTTATCTTTTTTTCTCTACTGGTTTTCACTACTTTTTTTCTAACCTATTCATCATAAATAGAGATAATGTTATTTTGTAAGACATTTTTAAATAGAGATCTACCGGTGCTTGTCTTCACTAGACTACCAGTTCTCTTAATTGTGAGTTTGTGTTTAATATAATATAAAGAAATGCAAATAGTGTTCAAATAAATAAGTTTTTGATTGAGATTACTATTGGCCTCATTTGGAGACAACAAAACATATGCCATGAATATAGAGTGCAATACAATGTTTAGTAAATTGTTAGCAATTTGATGGACAATAGCGTCCATTCAAACTGTACTCAACGTGACGTATATAAGCATTTAAATGGTGTTAAGTCTACAAAATACAACTCAATAACTAATAATTAACCATTTCTTAGCTTTTGTTGTAAAATGCATACAAAAATATGTCAACAAATGACAACAACATAACAACCTTTTATTAATACTTAACAACTGATATAACTATAAATATATAGTATATGTCTTGTATTTGCCTTAAAGACATACAAATTGATGGACAATAATAAGTCTGTTTGAAATGTCATTTGAATCAGTTTGTAAAGCGTTTAAAATATGCCTATAATATAATGTATATAAATGATTGTATCTGCTATTTAAAGTTTTTATTAACAATTATGTAATTTTCAAATTTATTTATTTAAATATTTTTTGAATTGACAAATTTTACAATTTAACCTATATTACAAATTGAATAAAGCATTGAATAAATATAATTTTTGAATTATAAATAATAAAAAATAGCAATTTTTACAAACATTGATCTCCCATAACAATAGCAGAGTAACAGATCCCACGCTTAATACAAATATAAATGTTTGCCAAATATATGTTAGATTCTTCACTATTAAGTATTGATTTTTAAAATGAAACTCTCGTTAAAAATGTTATGTATGATAGTTAAGTATAAAATAGTGTATGAATTTGACTTTTTATTTTTTAGTAATTGTAGAAATAATTTCAAGCATTCAATCAATATTTAAATTGAAATATTTGTTAGTCAATAAAAATGTTTAGAAAGTTATTTATCAAAACATGTCACTAAACATCACTTATTGATTCAAGTGAATGATCCAAAAAAGATATAAATTGAAGAGTTTTATATTTACTATACTTAAAGTATAGTTACATGTAGTTATAGTACTTACGAGAGAGAGAGAGAGAGAGAGAGAGAGAGAGAGAGAGAGAGAGAGAGAGAGAAAATAATAATAATAAATTGTATTGATTTGCTAGCAATGCAATCAATTTTTCATTAGTCTATTGCCTCAAACATGACGACCACACTATTGGTAATTTCAAACCATTGCTGTCTATTTATAAGTTAAGTGTTTGTACTAACCAGTGATCAAATTGTATTGCAATAGTATTTGTATTTTGAATTGTAGGGTAGGTACACATAATATAATATTTTATATATAATATTTTCCCGTATTATTGATAAAATAGCATAAAATGTCATCAAAAGACAAGCTTTTAGTAGTTTTATATACAATATAATAAATAGTTATAAAGTACACATCAGTGTATTGTTGTTTAGTATTTTATACAACAATTTGAGCCAAATTTGTGTCTATTGACTGCAGTGACAGCCTTTCATAATAGTGTTATTATCATTGAATGGCTGAAAGCAGTCTCACCCGTGTCTCAGCCATATCTCTCCCCCGTAATTATAGTAAGGTCTCGCTTGTTATAGAGGACAGGATATGTTAATCATAATAAAAATGTTAAAAGTGTGAAGTGGTCTCTACCATAGCACTGGCTTATAGTATATTTGCCATCATATAGGCACTGGCACTACCACCTCAAACACCAGAGCTTACAATTGATTATTTTAAAGAAATGATTTTCGCGTCAATACATGCATTCATACTATATGTCAATCACATCTGGCAATACCCCGTTGGTGGTCAACACTGTCAGTCAGGCACAGGGAGGCACAGGGGCACAGGTCATAGTACTTCACTTAAACTTATCTTTTTAATTTAATAAATGCCAACACCATTATATTAGCTTTTCAACTACAGGTTCTCTAATCACAATAGTTTATCCGATTAAATCTATTATAACTATTATAACTATTATCAAATCTTGTATCTTATTTTTTCTAAAACATTCTAAACTTTAAATTATTGTAACATAAAATACTATATAATATTTAACATAAAATAAAAAATTTTCAATAAGACTTTTTTAAATAATAGAAATTTAAAAGTTAAAACACAATTGTACTGTAATGTAATTAATAAAAATAAAATTATAATTATTGTAAAAATCATAAACTAATTGAATTGTATTAATAGCATCCGACAGTTCCCTCCATTATATATGTTTTGTCACTACTATTAACAGATGGGTTTATAATCTTGATTTCAATACAATACCAAATAAATATTGACAGACAAACAATCAATTTGGAAATTTTGAACTAAATTTATGCTTAAAAATAATTATTGATAAAAACTATACGATAGTATATACAATATCAGTATATGAAAAATTGATCACAAAATTACTCTTTTGGTTAACTTTAATAAACTTAATATGAAAAATTTTTAATTACTAAAATAAAAACAATTATATTTTTTTTTGCTGGTATAAAAAAGTGTAAGTTTAAAATCAAACAAAGACTAATATAATTATCAAAATATTGTAAACAATTATCTCATAATGTTGTTAACAAAATAAAACTCAGACTACAAATTATTGTCAATTGATTTATTATATAGTTTATCATTACATCTCAATTGTGATTAGAAATTCATTAATCATATAATCATTTATTTTTATTTGTAAAGTATTTTATTAGAAACTTTAATGGCTAGAATAAAACAGTTAGTAAATGAGATAATAGTTATATTATAAAAACAAAATGTTTGGCACAAAACTTATGTCTTAATGGACAGACTTAATGCTTAATGATAAGCATTGCTTTAAAAGCATTTTAACTAAATTTTGTCACACATTTACCACACATTTACAACTGGATCCGATTGAAAATAAACTCTTAACTGTTTTGTAATAAAAATAGTTTTTTCAAAGTTTGTGATTCTCGTAAATTGTGTTATACTAGTTATGGCTCTTAAACTAGACTTTAATCTAATAAAACGGACTCTACGGTGAAAGTCTACAATTTGATTATATTTATTCAATTTTTTTGCTCTAAAATCACAAGTAAGTGCCATCAATGTGTCGGATTAGACAAACTTAATGTTACAATAATAATGTATTTTAGATTATTTTAGCCATCAATATATGCTCTTTCATTCTCTCTCTCTCTTTCTCTCTCTCTCTCTCTCTCTCTCTCTCTCTCTTTGAATCATTTTTAAAGGCATTCAAAAACACATTGAATGAGAAAAATAAATACAATGTTAAATATTTTTTGTTTTGACTGTTATATATTATGAAAATAAGCTAAATTAGATGGAAAATCAAATTGAATACTATTTGCTAATATTTTACAGTATTTGAAACTTACTATAAGTGAATAAAATCTCAAATTTTGATCTTTTGTTTGTCTAATATGTGTTTAACTTTGAAACACATTTTCTATATACAGTATATATATATATACTTATTTAGTATGACAACCAAATAGATGAACATTAGCTGAAAAGTCAAGTCTAGTATAAAGACAACAACAAGATGTGTATTGTTTGCTCAGTTAAGTCAACAACCATTCAATTGTGAACAATAAGACGATTCAAAACTTACTCAAAAAATAATTCAAGTGTTATCTCTGTTATGATTTTGAGAGAGAGAGAGAGAGAGAGAGAGAGAGACCAATGATTACAAACTTATATTTGACTGAATTATTACTGTTATTGTTATTATTTGACATTTTGGAAACATTTAATGTTTCAATTGATATATTGAAAGAGCATTTATGTATTATAAATGTTGAGTCAATTTAGAAATTATTGTTTTTATAAATAACTTTGTATTGTATTTACAATAAAATAATCAAAATGATGTTGAGATTGAATCGCACTTTTTAAACATTATATAAATCAATTTGAAATATAAATGGTAATTACTTTTCAAGTATAATGTAATTTAAACTATACTAACCGCTTTCAAACGTTTTAAAATTTATTAATAATAATGTAACTGAAATTTTCATTAGCTTTTTATTTATTGAAAATTATAATTAACACATCATTTAAAAATATAATAAATTCTTATAAAAAATATATGATATTAAGTGTGAATATTGACTTTGAAAATATCTAAATTGTGCCACTTTTGCCACTATTAGAAAAAGAGAGCAAATATTTATTTATGGCATTAAACACGGCATTCAACCAACAAATATGTGTTCACTTTTTTGAGTGATGACAACCAGTCATTGCTTATATACTATATAAGAGGTTAACTGTTATTATTATTATTACATGTATTACAGGTAAAAATGTTTAGTTATAATCACAGCATTAGGTAACTTAAAGTTACTTATAATATCTAAGGCAATGAATGACATAAAACGTGTGCAAACATCAATAGTGACGGCAATTATGTATGAAAAAATCAATGGCAAACCATTTTGATGTTTAACAATAATATATGGTTTGAATGAAGAGATTAGTGTTAAAAAATTAATGACAACTGAAATATATTTTTTTTATTGAATGCTTTAAAAAATATTAAATATGTTTTATATAGTTTTTATAGTGCAGTCTACAAAATCAATGAAATTCAAGTCAAGCATTGGAAATAAAAAACCACTTAATTATAATTATATTAAATTGATAGATAATACTTGACTAATAAAGTGATTTATATGTCATCACAAATGCCAAACACTATATAATAGGTAAATGTTGTTTACCTTAATTTTTCAATCAATCTCTTTATCAATAAGACAAATGTATAGAGTTATGTAAGTATTGTAAAGTATAGATTGGTTTTAGCAGTTATGGGATGTCTTATTATTTAATTAGACAATGACTGACTTTTTCAAACTATGTTTTAGATGTTTTAAAATTGATTTTTTATTATTACTACTAACGGTTGTACAATATAATAGTAATTGGCAAAAAATTACTTTATATTACTATAAATCTAAACAAAATATTGTATATAATTAGATTTTATAACAAATTAGCAGAAAAATACTTTTTATTATATTTATAAGTATTGTTGTCAGCTATCAATCAACTGTGATCTCAACCCCTTTGAGTTAAACGAATATTTAAATATAAATAATTAAAAAATATGATACATTATATTAATACAGTATTATTTTATATGAGATAAACTTACAAAATAATTATTTAATATATTTATATATCTTCTGTTAAAATCAATATTACTTTTTAAATGTAGTTTTCGGAAGTTATAAGTTATAACAGTTAAAAATTATAAATAATAAGTTTGATTCATTTAATATAAAATATATTAATTAAATTAAATTGCAAAAAAACATAATTGCTAATATCATTTTTTTGCTTATAATTAATTATTGTGAATAACAATTAATCAAATAAATGAGTTTTTCGAAAATTAGAGTCCAATTTTTGATAATATATAGGATTAGTTATCGTAATTAGATTTAAAATTACTTATAATATATCGTTTACAACTCAATTCTCTTTTTAATCAATTATCGTATTAACTGTTTTGTTATTATTATTATTCATATAATAATAATATCGATTGCAATGAATTGCCAGCGGATTAGTAATCATCAGATTAGTTGGTAATCACTTTTTTCTCTAATATAATACTATCACTCGATTGAATTTATTGTATTAAATACTATATTTTTGTATTAATCGAATAAATATAAAATATATTTTTAAAGATAAAATCAATATTTCACTTTATATTGTTTGTATTGCTTGTATTGTATTACACTTTATTATTATATTGTCAACAAATGTTTTGATTTTGTAAATATGTAATAAAAAAAGTGTTGAACTACAAAATTGTTAATAAAATCTAATCAAATTAATACATAAAAGGCTTAATTGTTAATTTAAAGGCAAGCATAATATGCATAAAAAATTTTAATTACGCTAACAGTTGTATCAAATGACTTGACTGATAGTCACCACAAAAGCCGATGAAGATTATGGTTTGAATCAAATAAATCCGTGTTTTCAGATGTAATGCGATTTTAATTCTGTTATTTACGGCTGGATTGACACCAACCGCATCATTATATTCAATGTTAGCATTATATCTATTGCTTACGTTTTTGCAGTGCAAACCACAAAAAGCCATTGCATTATTTGGACTACTAATCAGTAAAGTACTGAAACGATAATAACAGTACAAATAGATAGGGCATAGCATAGGACAGACATTTGCAAACTCAATACAAAAGATTAAATTACTTCAAATAGTCAACAATTCAACTAATGTTTTGTTGTTTCCGATAGCACTATACTATTCATTACAATTCATTACAAATGTCTAATCTATTACATAACTATTAAATGCTTTATTGCTATTTATAAATATATCTATCTTTAGATATTATAGTTTTTAGCTTAAGTATTTTCAATTATCATTTTATTTAATTAAATATTATATATACACAAATATTTTTAACAGAGTTAATTAAATTATATTTTTAGAAAACATTACATAAATAGTGTAAATAAATCTAAAATTTTAATACGAGATGTTTGTGCAAACTATTAGTTATAACTATAACCATAAATATAAATACGTATAGTATTGAACGTATAATTTTTATTATTTCTTGTCATTATTTCTGTTTTATTCAAGTTTTTAAATAATTGCTTTAATTATATGATATGATATTACCCACTCATATAATCATAAAGGCACATACCTTACATAATAGCCTATATTAATATCGTGGTGTATGACTGACTTTGTGAATGTGTAAGAGAAGAGAGAGAGAGAAAGAGAGAGGGTTTTAATAAAGTGTTATAAAGAGTGTATAAGCCGTATGATTGTATGGTATGACTCTATACTATATATTTGGTGACACATTCCTGTCATACCATAGTATAAGAGATATGAAAAATAATTGCATTCCATAACTAATAAGTTATAGTTTTGTATGGATTTTATAAGTTTAAGTCCAACACTTAATAGCCTATTATTCTATTAGAGACTGCATTTCATTTGCAAAATTCAATATCAATGATATTAAACAATCACTCAAATGACAAACTTTGTTCACTAGTAAACATGATTTACTTATTTTATTAAATTTATTAACTCAAATCAAAATTAATTAAAATTTGTTTGTATTTATAAATAAAAATTTTGTTTTTTTGTTGTAGTAAATAATGATATTAAATATTTTAAAACAAGTTTCTATTTAAAAATATTAGTAAATTATGCAAAATTATAACAAAATTCCAGCAAATATTAGTTAATTGAATATTAGGCATATATGTACAGTATGTATACGGTATGTGTGAGTTCATCCATAAAATATAATGTTTAAATATTTGCTCAAAAATATATTTTAATTTTGAAATTATTTAAAAATCTAATTACATGGATGGGTGCAAAATTATTTAACTAATTTTTTTTGTTAAGATATAAAATCAATTTTGTTATGTTGTGTTCCTACACTTTCTCCAGCTTTTCATAACAACTCAAACGGTGTTTTACTTATGATAGTAGAGGAATGGTATGAATAAAGGCTCAGTCAATATAATGATAGGCATTACTCAAATTCTTGACTCTCTCTCTCTCTCTCTCTCTCTCTCAAAGTAATCATCAGTTGTGTTAATATTAGGTACTAATTCATTGCTGACCCAAAATAAGCTATTATAGCAAAGAGAAAGAAAAATGCGTTTATATATAATGCCATAAAATGCATATTAAAAGCTATTCATAGCTAAACTATTAGCTATATATGAAATTTTAATTAATTTTTACGATTTTTTTGGACACATTATTATTTCTATGAAATATTTTAGTGAATAAAATAACTGCAAATTCTAATAAGCATTAAAAAATCAAAAAGACAATTATTATATTCATTATTAGTATTTAAATAAAAGTTAAAATGATAATTTGTTAGGAAATAATTAATTTATAAACAATTAAATTTAATGATTGATAGTAAACACTAATAATATAACATTATTAATAAAATCAAATAAAACAAATAAAGTTGTTTTATACTAACAATTTGTAACATCAAAATAATATATTTATTTTGTTCATTATTAAGATTACAATTGAATTATCAGTTTTGCTAATATAATAGTTATATATATATATATATATACAGTATATACCAGTATATACAGTATAATTAACAATTTACTTTGTATATAAATTATATTGTATTTATTAAATTTTAAATTAAATTTGCAAAAAAATATTTATGAAATAACTGACAAATTGTTTTTATTTAGTTAATAAAATATTTGATTATTAATTAGTATTTGATGCCATTATAGGTACACTAATTAGTGAATACGCACGCCTGGGTCCTCCCGTGGGTTCAGACATCGATACTAACGGTGCTCTCAATGTGTCGAGTACTGTGTCATCAAAGAAGAAAAAGAAAAAACGCCGTCACAGGTATTTTTGAAAATATTTTTAATTAATACAATCAATTGATACAAATAAATATCAAACTATACTTTTGTAGATTCATTAATATTTCATTCAATATTATAATTAAAGTATCAGTTAATTAAATCACATATTATATAGTAGATTAATTAATTTTAAATGTGCTTGCTAAGTTACGGTGATTTTATCAAGTTAATAAACTTTGTAAATTTAACACTTTATTGTTGTATTTAAAAAATCAATATAACGTTTTAGATAATTAAGTCTACTTATAATAAAAATTATACTTTTTTAATTGTACAAAATTATATACTCTACTATTCAGTAATATATTAAGTAGTTGTAGATAACTTCAAATTAGTTTAATCATATAATGGATCACTTTTTTGTTAATATTAAATTTTTACAATTACAAACACATCAATATCATAGTATAGTAGTTAGTTTAGGTTAGTTTTTTACAGTATACAGTAAAAGTCTATTATTATATAAAATAAACAGTTAAGTCAATTAAACTAATAAGTTATTTACTGTATTATTATTATTATAACAATTTCATTTCAATATAATAGTGAATATTTACTCAAAAAATTGTTTACTTTTGCAACAATTACTTTCATTCAATGGTAAAATATTTTGACAATAATTAAGTCAAATGTTTTCTGTTTTTATTATTGCAATTCATATGTATTATACAAAACAATTTGTGAAAATATTGACAGAAAAGCTGGTTTATATTATTTAATAAACGATTGTATAATTGATGTACAGTAATATAAATAATTTTTAAAACATATAAACCATATTAACTACTATGTAAAGTAAAATACAATGTTTACTGTATTTTTCTTTTTTTAACATTAATAAATATATTTTTATTGTATCTAATATTACAATCATAATCGATAATTTGTTTTACTTAGCAAATAAATTAATTTATGAAAATAGTAATAATTAGCGCATATAATAACAGTTACATTATTTAGCATATTATGTATTATAAATATACAGTATATAAATGTTTAAATTAACAATTAATAACCTTAAAGATATTTAATTTGATTAAATATTTGATGTGTGCATTGAATTTATCATTTAAATTATTGAATATTAATTGTAAGTGTTATGAATTGACTCTATTAGGTAAACATTAGTGTATATAAAAGTAGGAGTGTTTATAGGTTTTTCAATTATTATTATATTGTCATTAATCATACAAATCATGTAAATTGTATTTATGGTATCGCAGATGTAAGTCATAGCTTAAAACAGCCGGGAATTGAGGCAAAACAGACTATTAAAATAATGGGACACTTTGTGGTACTTTATGGCACTTTGTGGACCTCATTATCAGCTCCACCTAAACAAATGATAGGGAACCGGGAATATGCCGTTTCATTGCTTTCATAAAGGCGTCAACTTTTACCATATAAACTATTATATAATAGTCACACAATTCATACAATGCATACAAACTCTATGTGTTTGTGTTATCAAATATGAACATTCAATTCATTATTTAATACTCAATATTCAATTCATTTATATTATATTTTAACATATAATATCACATTTATTGTTATAAATCAAATTCATTTGTTATTATTTAGTTTTACTAAAATGTCAATTCTTAAATAAAATACAAATATATTTAAGCAATATATTATATATTTAATATTTGAAAAATTGCCTGGTTATCATTTTTTATTATTTTTAAAATACTAATATTCTATATTATATTATTTAATTATTTCTATTAAATAGACAATTTTTAAACATTTATTATATATATTTTCATATAAATATTCTTATTATTTTTATTTTGTTTTATTAAATAATAAATGAAATTCACTAAAAATCAATATATCATTTAGGATAGAAAAAACAGAGTGTTTTATTATAAGATCTAATTAACTGAGTGCTAAACGCTATGTTTGAAATTTACTAAAACTAAACCAATAGTACTGTATATTACAATGTATAGCATTTTACTTATACAATACAGTACTGTAGCATACATTATACGGTAGAGTACTGACTGTAGAATATATACAATAGAGAGTTGATATTTAGGCAATACCTGCAAAAAAGCCAATTTTCTCGACACCACATCTCTCTGGGTCTCAAATATTTGCTTTTGAACTTAATTTGCACTTTCAATAAAACTAATTTGTTTTTAGTTCATTGTTTGCGTGCATAGCATTTGCTATAATTTATACTTTACATTGTGTAGAAAAATAATGGATATAAAGCCAATGAAATTGTTGTTAACGTTTATTTTATAATAAATTATTAATAATTAACACTTACTCTGATATTATTTTTTGCACATTTTTAACATTATTAGCTTTTTATGTATGATTTTATTAATATTTGACATTTACATTAAATGCGAATGACTTATACTCTATTTAATTGAATGACTGCTTTTTAAATTATATTTTTAATATAACACGAAATATTGATTTCAATGCTTTTTAAAGGACTATATTCACGAGTTATCAGTTGGAAGAGTTGGAGAAGTCGTTCAAAGACGCCCACTATCCCGATGTCTACGCCCGGGAAATGTTGTCCCTTAAAACCGATTTACCTGAGGATCGCATACAGGTATCAGTTTTATTATACAGATTATGATAATCAAAATATAAAATCCAATAACAAGTTATCAATAATAATAAAAACTTTATTCGTTTAAACTGTACTGACAATCATTAGTCAAAGTTTTTTCTTTTCAAAAATCAATTTAAATCAAATTATTTTAAACATGATTTTATATAAATGTTTATCTACTGTACTTTAATAATGTATTGTCTAATAGCATATATAGTATTTTATTATTAAGTAATCATTGAAGTGAAACATAATTTAAAGTTAAACTATTTTGTTGTTTGAATATATTATAAGTCCGATAAATATAAATGAAATGTAAAAGAGAGCCATTAAATATATTTTTTATTATTGAGAGGACAGCAAATTAAATAAAAAACATATTATAATATACTATAACTCCGTTTTATCCACAAGTGCTGAACATTTGACAAACCATTCAGAACAGTGATCTCTATATTGAATATATCGTTAAAATTATATATACATTACTATATAAAATCTGTGTCTCAACTCTTGGTTTATATATAATGTCTTTGTGGTTGTGTTTAATGGATCAGAAATTAATGTCAACCAAAAGCAATATTTTGTCCCCAAATATACATTATTTCATATTTATATAACTTATAGATATTTATGGATTTAGTCATTGGTTATTAAATTATTATTTTTGGTGAACACATTTCACAAATTTTTATCAAATTATTATACGATTTAGATATTAATTTTTGTCGTACTATATTTAATAAATGATTATTAATGTGTTTGTTAGCTTTGATATTAAAATAAAATTACACAAAATTTGACTTTATTTATTAATTTATATAATTTAATTTTTTTGTAACTATATATATAATTCTATTTTTAAAGCTATTTTTATTAAAAACAATATTACAAAATACTATATATATATATATATATATATATAAATAATTTTTAATTTTTAATGAGAGAATTATGTTAAGAAACTAATTGGTGACAAATGTTGTACCCATACATACATACATACAATGTTTGTTAAGTCAATACTATAGACTCTATAGTAGTTGTGATGAATAAAACGGTAGACTTTTTTAGATGAATGAAGTGATGGCTATTCATTGGTTGCGTTAATATGATATAAAAGTAGCTCTTTTTGCTTCATTATATGCCTTATGATAGATATGTGTTGGTCTCCACTCGAGATTCAATTACAGTAATTGGTATCTAAAAAGTCTCTTTTATCTAATACTCGGGGCTATCGCTGTCATCAGCTCTGAGCTCTCATGCCTTATAATAAGTGAACGCTATATCGGGTTTATGCCTATTATATAATACCTTACTTTTTGATATAACTTTAATTATGACTCCAAATGTTTTATCTTTCATATCTCGTTACTATTATTAATATAATCATAATTATCATTATTACAGACATTTTTGTAGTTTTTGTTTCACTTTTTAATATTTAAATATTAATGCACATATTATTACAGTACATAATTATATTAACACATTTTTAGATAGTGATAAAACTATATATATATATATTACCACAATTAACTCTTCATCATTATTTCACAAAATAAGTTTATAAAATTTTGAAATTAATTTTTTTAATTATTTGTATTTAATAAAATGAGAAAAGAAATTTTCTAATAAATGTCAATAAATTTTTATAAAGTTATTTTCTATGTAAGCTTATATCCGACAAACTAAATGAAATGTAATATTTTTTGTTGTCCATCATTAGTGTTGTTATTATAACATTTGATATTTTATTAAAATACGACATATCAGATGTTTTATGAAAGTAAACATTTTTATCAATTATATAAATGATTGTAAGCTTTATTTGATGTCACTAACTATGTATTTAACAAATAATTTATTTAATTAATATTGCAATATAAAAAATATGTGATATAAATGAGTAAAAATAGATTATTAAAAGGCTGTAATATTAATTATACTGAAAGGTATGGTTTCAAAATCGACGGGCAAAGTGGCGAAAGACAGAGAAATGTTGGGGAAAGAGCACAATAATGGCTGAATATGGACTGTACGGTGCAATGGTTAGACACTCACTACCACTTCCCGATAGTATACTTAAGTCATCACACGAGGGTGAAGTTCCCGGTTCGTGTGCTCCCTGGCTGTTAGGTATGTATTAGACTGGCACTGGTTTTTCGTGAAAGAGAGAGCACATACTTTTCAATTGTAGATAAGCAACGATTACCAACATTTGACTATTCGCTGACAGGAATGCATAGGAAATCATTGGAAGCGGCGGACAAACTCAAGGATTGCGATTCAGACGGCGAGTCCAGAGATCACAGCGAACACAGCAATAGTGGATTCAGTCCGTCAACAATGACATCATCTCCAAGAACTTCAACCAATAGTACTAATCATAACAACAATAATGAAGCCAACAGTGTATCTAATGTTAAAGTTATATCACTTTCTCCTCCGATAACAAACGTTTCTAACTCTATATATAACTCAGTTCTTAACACAAATGATAAAAGTATTATTAAAGAAGAGCTCAGGACTAGTAGTATAGCAGCCCTGAGAGCCAAAGCACTGGAACATTGCGCTAAAGTCACCCAAAACGCCATCAAAACCAATGATAACAACATTACTATATTTACAAACAACAGATCCACAGGTATTTCAGTTTCAAGTCCTTCAATCACTCAATTTCATCACTCATCGCCTCCAAGACATCACATCTTTTAGATAACAATTTATTTTAATCTATTTATCCATTAATTTGTATTTCTATTATATAATACAAATGTATTTCATTTTTAATGTATTATTTTTGAAAATAATTAATTTGATAAAATGATTTAATTGTAATTATTATTTTTTAAAATGTTAAAATCATAAAAACTAAACATTTACTAAACTCATTAATATCACTGTATAATGATTTTCTAATTATAATAATATTATAGTAATCTAGAAATATAAGGATTGAAAATAAATTAGTATTTGTAAATTAACTTTGTTTTAGACAATAATAATTATACTGTAATAAAAACAAATGATTTGAAGGTACAGTTAGTTTTGCACATCTATTTTGTTGTATATATTATACTAAATTGTAAGTTATGTTTAATATTTAATCTAAAAGTTATTTCTTAAATAATAAAGAAAATTATTAAAACATAATATTAGAAACTTTGTTAATTAATTTATTAATACACTATCAATGATTCAATAGATATAATTACAATAAAAACATTTTACATTTTTATTTATAGTTTTTTCAATAAAAATAATAGAAATTGAGTGCAAAACAAAATGTTTATATTTGACTATATAATAGCATAGCTATAGCATAGATGATGTGAAGCACTGTGTTGTTGAAACCATATGTCAAACTTGTAATATTAGTTTGTAGTAAACTAGCAAACAGTTCAACAATTGTCAGTTTTATAAAAGTAATTTCCCCAAAGTGTCGATTCCCTTCCCAAACACATTACTTTTATGAGGTGTTAAAGCAGCTGTAGATGAGCACTGGATATATGGATATATTCACTATATTTAGTATATATGATATACAGCACCAGTAAGTCTATAGAGCGTGAAGTACTCAACACATACTATCATCAGTAATGCATTGACACAACTCTGTACTCCAATAGAGACCATCACTTTCAACGCTATTACCATTGAAAGAGTTAGTATTAAAAGTAAATTTATAGGTATTACTATATCAAGTGCTCAGATTTGGTTACAAAACATACATTATATTTATTTTTTAGTTTATTAAAAGTCTAAAAAGTAATCAATTTAAATGTTTATGTCCACACAAAGCAACAACTTTAGTATAGTTTTATTGGTTAAAAATATAATAAGTTTATTGTGTTTTTTATTATTGTGAAAGTCTATGGATAGACATGTATAACATCTACTATTTGTGACAAAATATTTGTAGGAATAGAGATGTAGATATAGTCTATAAAGAAGTGACAAAACAGTCACTCAATTGTCAATTGTCTGATCAAAACGTATTGCATATTTGAGTCCTTACTCTAAATGCATTCATATACTGTATACAACATATACAACACTATACTATAATATTCATTGATTGCTCACATTTATTACAAAACACATAACAATCCTCAGTTGGCCTCCGGAGTCATCATTTTTAGTGATATGAGAAACTACTGTAGGGAACGGTAGGAGTCGTATTTGAGAGGAGCTATATGAGAGTGAGATGAGGTTTGGTGTGAAAGTTAATAAAGTAAATTGCATTGCATTTTGTCGTAAATAACATTGCATTATATGAAGAAAATACTCAAAGAGAGAGAGAGAGAGAGAGAGAGAGAGAGAGAGRGAGAGAGAGACATTTGTCTGAAAACATGAATTATAAGTGCAATGGATGTGAAAGAGATCGTGAATTAGTTGTTTGCTATAATTTGTTGTAATATCTATTAATGCATTGTTTCGTTTTGGGATTACTTTTCCACTTTTATATCACTTAATGATTTGCTGCCAATAATGACATCATCGCAGAAAAGACCAAAACTAACAGACCATTGCAACCAATAATATCAATCGACTACTGTAACCATTACATCGCCTAAAATTGATATAATTATCTACTTTTAGTAATTACGAGACAAATACTATAATTATGTAATTTAATTAAATAAGTCTATTAAACAAAACTCAAGTCAATGTAAAACAAGTTTTCTTAATAATGTAATTACAGTACACTATATGCTAACAATGCACGTAATGAAAAGCAATGAAAATCACTGTTTTTATTGCAAGTATCAAACAAATTGTTGTCTTTAATCAAATTTTTGTTTTTAGGCATTTAGACTCTTTGTTAAACATTTTAATTAAATACTTTATATATTTATATAACTGATTAGATGATCACAAATTTGATATGAAATGTGTATAAAATAATTTGATTATAAGTTAGTGCCAATAGAAGAGCGAGAGTTTAATATTATAATGTTTGATATTAAGGGTGATGTAAATGAATAGCAAAGCCACTCCATCTTAACGATGATATATTGCTATATCTATCCGTCAAAGCTGTAAAAGAGCTATAGTTATGGTCCAACATAACAGTCCTCTCTAATAGCACTTAATTCAATTGTAACGACAATTGCATCACAACCACACCACATAAAGTCCAATAATAGTTGTAGTCATATCTACACAAATTTAGTATATAATCTACACTCCCGTAGGAGATGTCGGCGCATACCATATACACCACTTACTACTTACCAATATTGGACTCAACTTATTGGTCTTTTTAAAAATTATTCAAATTTATTTTATTATAGTTTAGTTGTACTTAATTTACCGAAATTGACATAAATAGCTAAAACACATAAATCTTCAATAATATCATTTCACATAAATTTATGTTTTATTTTGGCTTATCTTGTAATATATATATAAACCACAGACTAGTCATTAATATCCATTAATGTATTTCTAATTTGTCTTAAATGTAAAATGTTTTTCTAATATTAGTCAAAATGAATAGAATTTTTGTTTATAATAATTTATTTAAAAAAAAATTAAATTTTTAAGATTTATTTCTTAAATTCTTAGTTATAATATTAAAACAGTCAAATAAATGTAAACATTAATATCAATTAGATTTTTAAAATTATTAATGTAAATACAAAATATTTAAATTAATTAAATTTAGACAATTTTGTAAGCATACTGTTTATTCATTTAGTAGACAACATTGTTTTATTAAGTAATATATAGACATAGTATATGTGCTGCAAGTTGTCTATTGTTAGTAAAGAGATGATAGTTTTGATATGTATGCGGACCACAGTTAATGGTTTAAGTAGATTGTATGGTACGATATGACACAAACAATTTGCAATTTCATCAATTCTCACATTTACTTTACTAATCCATTGCTAAACACTCATGTGTTTGACTAAACAAATCAATTGACAATACAATGACTGCGCTGTCAGTCAATGAGTAAAGTGACTGAAATGTCTGTGAGATGTGAGATCAGATGAAAGACCCGGTGCTTGAATAGAGCATAAATGCAAAACTATTGCCTGTGCTCTCTGTAGTACTGAATATTGTATTTATTAGTTTGAAAGAGAGGACTGACTGCTGGAGTGGCAGCTATTTTATGTATGTATAGTCTATACGCTAATCCACTCAATTCACAGAAGTAGTCATCAAAAAAGCACTGATTATCACAACGACTAACTCATTGATTGTGTTTATGTCTGACCCCTAAATCCATACAATAATGAAAAAATGACTAAATTATTACATTTTATTCATTATATTCATTCAGTCATTAAATATTATACTATTACTAATATTATAAAATCTATAATTATTAGTATATAGTAATAACTATCAGACAATTAACTGAAAAATTTTAATCTTTATTTTGCAATATTAAAAATAGAAATGTATTTATATTGAAATTACGGCTAAATGTTTAAAAAAAATAAATTATTAATAAATATAACAAATATTTTTCAATACAAAGACAACGGCAAAGTTGCTTATCATAAGAATTGATGTGATTTTCTATTATTTATAAGTCTATAATAATTTATATAACATTTAAATCTATATAACATTAATGACACGATTGGCAAATATTTTTATTATTATCGAAAAACCTAACATTTGCTACATTTAATCGATCATATCATGCGTTGAGATAATAAAACGTTTGAGCAATCAATTAGAGTTTGTTTCAGTGCATTACCCCATTAGAGGGATAGGCCTATAATAGCCGTTCCCGTTCTCTAACTGTTTCTTAATTTAATTTTCCTGCCATTTATGTCAGACATTGTGTGTTTTACTACTAAATGTTTTTAATAGTTGACATCTCTTTTTATTTATTGTTTAAATAACTCTTTACTCGTTGAACAGTATAACCAAACAAAACACTATAATTATCTGTATTTAATAAACTCAATAAAGACATTGTTATGAAGCGTTGACTTGAAAATTAATTATTTAATTATTGTATAAAATCTTTTATTAAATAATTTGCAGCATTTTCGCAGTTTCTCTACACAATTTTTAAAAAAAAAATCTATTATAAATTAATAATTCACACAATTAGATATTATGTTTCATTAATTTATTTATAAAGATTTAAATTATATTTTTAAATAACTACTATAGCTTTATTAAAAGTTAAATTTCTTAATAAAACTAAAATTGTATAAAACAATTTAAAATTTTAACTGTAATTACATTAATTTTATAAGAATTGTTTACTCCATTTGCTTTATTTCCTATTTTTGGTTCATTTATGACTCTTTTTAGATAAAAAAAAAGTTAATAAAATTGTCAAATTATCAAAAGATTTTTTAAAGAAACTGTTTAAAAACATATAAACAAAGTAATCATATTTTCAGATAAAGATAATCAAAATTACATATAATTGTGTTTAAAGAGTATTTTTTGTATAGATATTTAAAGATTATTTTCACTTCATTTGTTTAATGTATTATTTGTTTCAAACTTTTTTTTTGTTTATTTTGTGTTTCTAAACCATTAGACATTAGGCTTTAAAATAAGAGATAAAAATTTTATGAAACTTTCAAATATATAAAATATCAATACATTATATTGGAGTAAATCACCTGAGAAATATTTTTGAAGCATAAATACAATATATTATATTTTTATTGTTATTAGATTTACATTTGCTTGAAATATCATTGTGAATATATATATACACTATTTTTTTATATGCAAACATTTTTGAATATTAAATTATGATTTATTGCTTATTTTAATGCACATCACATTTGAAATAAATATAAAAATAAACTTTAATTTTACAAACTTTACTAAATCTTTTTTTTTTCGTTGAAAAAATAACATAAGAAATGAACAAAATAGAGAATAATAGAAAATGTGAAGAAATTAAGCGTTAATTAAGTGAAGACATAATATTCAATACAAGTCCTACGGTTCTGTCGATTGTCCGGATGACTGTCCGGATGATTGTCCGGATGATTGTCCGGTCGATTGATTTCTGTTCAAAAATTTCAAGACTTTAGTTGTTATTACTAATGCCATGACATCAACGGTTAGAGTTAGGAAATAGTAGACAATAAAGACGGCGTGAAATAACAGATCATAACGGAATCGGTTGTTATTATTAACTAATTAAATATATGATCATTAAAAGTGACAAATTTTTAATAGCATTATTAAAATTGAAAATAATTTCAGTTATAACAAACAAAATACAGTACAAACCGACAAATATAAAGCACATAAAATAAGTGATGGCTAATCCTAACCATAGAGTATTGACACCAATAAATATATTGAAATATAATTGATGGCCTTTTATAATACCTAAATAATATAAATAGACTGCACAACAATGCATTGAACTAATACAGGCAAATATCCACAGATAATTTAGACCATAAATTATTGAAACGACTCCAATAATAACAAAAAATATGCCTAAAATTTGATTATAATTAACATTAAACGATAAATATGTATAATTATAACATGAAATTTATTTATCAAACCTATTAAATTAATGACAACAGTTAATTGATATAAATAATGGATCCAAAACTGATTGGTCTCATCAGTGTTTAGGGCCCACAAAAAGGTAGGCTTACTATCATTACTATCATTACTGTCAACGCCATCCTTGGCATCACTTTTTACATAATCTTTAGGCAAAACTTTTTTACTCTTTTTATTACTCATTTTATTATAAATATCAAATAATTTTTGTTATAAATATATTGATTTTAAATATAAATCATTTCGTTAAATAGTTAGCGCGTCGACAACAATGTATTAGTATTTATTAACATTATTGTGTAAATGACTTATAGAGTAAATTATTTTATAAGTAAATTATCAAATTAAACTAAATGTGACTCAAATAAAAACATAGTTTTAAATTAAATTCATTAAATATATTTAATAAAAACCTAATTAATAATAATGTTAATTAATATATTTTATTAATAAATCAAATCTTATTCATTACAATTATAATATGCTTCACGTTTTACTAATCAATATATTAACAAATAATTATTTTTTAAACTAATTTAAATCTTTATATTATTAATCTTTATAATACAAATATTGTTCACCTGTTATGCTAATAATAGTTAATTACTTTTTTTTAAATACATCACTTTAATAATCACAAAAAATCAATTATTTTATTTAAACTAAGTGTCATTAGTTTTTAAATGAAATGATTGAAATTTAAATGATCTTAAAGTCTTGGATATACTATACTGTAGTTTTCATTTAATAAAGTGTACAAATAAAGTAATTTTTAATGAAAAACATTAATGAATTGTTCATAATATATGAATGTACTATTTTAATATAATTTATATTATATTAATATATTGTATAAAATTTCAAATGAAATGTTTTGATGACTTTGTTTTATTAGATCACTTAATGACACATCAAACCTATTTATATGCAAATTATATCATTTTCTCTTTCATAATAGAGATCACAAAAAATAATAATTTATTAATAATTTAATTTAAAATTAAAATAACAGAAATAAATAATTTAAATAAAATTTAATGTGGCATTTGGTTTACGATTAATAGGCTTTAGTATTTAATTATAGTCTTAATCATTATTATTTAATAAAATAGTCGGTAATATAATTATTTAAACTGATCGACCAATAATATGAAATGAAAGCAATTTTAACAATAATATATTATATTAAATTGTAAATATTGAATATAAACAGCAATTGCGGGTTACAAATGTATAATTTGATCCAACAATTTAATGTATCAATCATTTCAAAATTTATTGTCTTAATTTACCGATAAAATGCAATCAATTTTCATCACAATTATTAAATAAAATTTTAAGCAATGTTATAGATAACATGTTTTATCGTGATCAATTTTATTATTTATTAAATTAATTGCTTTAAAATTAATTAATATTTGTTTTAATTTAAATTATACAATAACTAAATAATAAGCTAATCTATAAATTTGTTATTCAATTATAATGTATGAAAGATATTGAAAATGAGAATAAAGTGTAAAATTATTTCATTTAACAAACTATTGATTTTGTTTTTCAGTCAATTTATAATAACATTTAAATGGTTTTGTGGTCTGTTTTTATTGACTTAAGAATTTAATTAAAATATATATTTTAATCATAATTTTTTTAGTCAAATAGTGTATCATATTTGATAAACACTAATAATCAGACAAATTGTATGATATTTTCTTGTTTTATTGTTTAATGATAGTTAGCAGTCATATTAACGTACATTTAATTTATTAATTAACAACTTATTTGAATGAAAACAATGACAGCATCAATGAGAGTATATAAGCACCAAACGGGCACTTATCGTGTTTTATATTGTTTTGTCTCATTTTATTTGCATTATAAGCTCAAAAATAAATCAAGTCTTCAAATTAAAAATAAAGCAATTAATGTGACATATTTAGTGTTATAATTAGTTGTCTCCTCAATAAACATTGAGCTATAAATCTATTGGAAATTTTCTGGGAAAACAAATGTATACAAATGTATGCATAAGTCGTCTCTAATTTCATTTATGAAGAGGTTTTGTTTGAATCAACAAATGAGCGAAACATCAGTTCAATAATTTCCTACTTTTTTGTCTGTTTTGTGATTTTTTAATAATGTTTTCCACTAAAAAAAACTATCGGAAGATTTCAAATAATACTCATAAATATCAAGCATTATTCGTATTAAATGAGTTCAAATTGTTTATATCTCTAAACTCGCGACTCGTGCAGTTGTCTACCGGTGCGAAACCAGATGAGAAGCCACCTCCTCGAGCGGCGCTTAGCTGTTGTGATCCCATTGGACTAAATGACGATGAAGTAGATGTCAGAGTGGTTGTTAGCGATGATGACGACCCTAACTTTGCCTTATGGTTCAACTCTAACTGTGATAATCGCTTCCACAGTTCATCCCTTTCCTTCTCTTTTCGCTTCTCTCTATAATTATAACAATTAATATAACATTAAATATTGATTCTAATCACATAATAATAACAAAATTTTAAATACTTTTTATCATTTCAATACTTTACAGCTTTACTGAGTCTTAATAAATCTGAATAAGTTTATCGCATTAAAAATTATCAAATAAATAAAAACATTTAAAATAAACCAAAATCTAAACCCGAAATAGCATTTTTTATTTTGTTTAGTAAATTAAAATTTTATTAAGCTAATAATTAATTTTGCCTAATCACAAAATACCTAATATAAATTTATTTTAAAGTTAATTGTGATAGTTTAATTATTATAAATATATTTACAAAACGAAATCAATTAAAAATCATAAATAAAATAAGACAGACATAAATACCAAGGTTTTTGACATTAAATATATAATCAAATCATCAAAAAAACAAAACAATATTTATACTGTAAACTTATAATACTGTAAATGTTAGGTACTTTAACATTCGACTTATGTTTTATTAAACTGATCAATCAGTAAACTATTTGTTGATTTAAATTGATAGTACAGTAGTATATATATATATATATTAAAATAAAATATAAAGCAACCATGATATTTTCCTTCACTCATATTATAAATGATAACTACAGTTGTGATAAAATGTTGAATAAAAATTATCTTTAATTTAAATTCATACAATTCATGCAATACTTAGGTATGTGTGAGAAAATAGCTTATTATATACCGTTTATATTATATATATGATAACAACTTTTAGTGTATTAAATTTCATATCATTTAATTAATTAGTCAATTATGATAATTAAATATAAAACAATATAATAGCAATATATATATATATATATATATATATAAAAATAAAAACAAATATTTAATTACTTTTGTCGTTCAGTTTTATAAGAGGCGGTCAACTCATCAAATAATTTGGAGTTCACTTCCATAAATGTTTTCAACACATTATAAACTAATGCAATAATAGTTTGATTCCAGTGCTCTTTGGATATGCGATAGAGTGCCGGAAACATAATCGGCATAATCACTGCACTGTTCTCCTCTATTAAACTCAGTATGTATTCATTATTCCAGAAATAGAGAGCCCGTTCAGCCACCTGTCCAATCAATTAATACAATTAATAATAAAATCAATCAAATGTTAGCTCATACCTGAAAGTGAGGACTCGATACGCATCTGGAAATCTGTTTGAAGAGCTGATCCTGGACTTTGACAAACTGTGTCGGTTCAATCACATCTAAAATTTCTTCAATTTCTCCCAAAAACATTACTTCTTTCTGACTACAAGTCTTTGGCCAGAATTTCAATAATCCATTGATCACGTGTTCAGTAAGTGTGGCATCTTTCTCAAGAAACTGAACGACACAGTACGCCAACTATCATATCAACAAACAATCAAAACAATTATTAATTTAGATATATTTAAATAGTATTGTTAGTTAGCATAATAACATACTTGAGCGTGATATAGACCTAAACATTTAGGTTTATGTAAAGGAATGAGAACTTTAACCAAAAACTGTTTGTGTTCAGCCTTTAAAGGCAATGCAAAACCATTTATTATACTATAAAAACATTTAAAAAATTCATATTATTATTATTAAAATATTTTTATCATTTATAAGATAATAAATAAAAAATACAAACCTCCCTAATATTTCAAGTAACTCTCCGACACCATTGAAGTGTTCCGTTTCATAAATAAACCTCAAGAAAATATTATTAATTTGTTTTCTAATGAATGCCCGAAGTCCTAAAAATTTGCCATAAATTCTGTGTAAAACTGTTTTCAGAAAATCTCGTTCTCGAGGGTCTTCACTATCAAACAATTCCAGTAACTATTCAATCAAACAAATAAAATATAAATTACCGGTTTATTATCATTTCAAATATAATATGAAATCATCGGTAATCAAAATAGCATTTACCTGTAAAACAAACTTTTGGTCGATTACTTTCTTTCCAATAGTTGGTTGAAAATCGGGTGATTCAAGGAAACGGAGTACAAATTCATAGACTAATTGCAAGTGTGGCCACGAAGCCTCAAGTGTCGGATCATCCTCTTCGGGATCAAAGTCTGGGTTCTCACTCGGAGGTAATGTTCGAAACAAATTGCAAGATATCTATCACCAAAACAAATAACAATTTAATTTAGTTATTAATAAATCAACAAATATTTCAATTGTATATAAAATGCAAACCATTCTAATAATCTCAGGATAAGTGGGTTCTGTGAGTACCCCTCGTCCGGCACTAATATAATCGACTAATTCATTGAGTGTCGCTCTCTTAATCTCTTTTCCTTTTAAATCAGAGACCGGATCCATGAAATCAAAAGCAATACAACATTGCCTTAATTTGCGTATAAAGAGACCCTCTTGTTCACCACTGGGCACATCTATTATGATATTAATTATCAAATGATATATACAGTATATATGTTAACCAATCAATTTAATTATCTAAACATTCATAAGACAAACCTTTAAGAAGTGGTAATGGCTGTAACTCGACCTCAGAGGTCAACCTATATCTGGATGATCCCTGAGATTTCTTTTGCTTTCTCTTGAGTGAACCTTTCTTAAAGGGATCTATTTTGTCGACAAATGCTTGCGGAGCTTGAAGTGAATGTGAAGTCATAGTTATTATCCTCAATATTATTAACTTTTAGCCAATAAATCCAATTGAATCACTAATATTACACTTTAAATATTTGTACAAAAATTGTTAAAATTAAATAAACTAAAAAATCAATTAACTAATTATATATATGATATCATATGCGGACAATTTAAACAAAAATACCGGTAATATATTGTATATATTATATAATATATTAAAATATAATAAATTATGATAAATTGATATTATTATCAATATATGAAATTACCGGTGAATTTAATTATAAATTACAAATAATAAGTTATTGGCCCTAATATTGAGCTCATCTCACAAAACAAATGTATATATAATATAAACAAAAAAAATTATTTATTAAATGACGGATCAGTTGTTTTCATGATTGATATAACTGTTAGTGGTTTGGGTTAACAAAGATATTATACGAAACACTAATTATTTTGATAACAAACAATCAATGGCTCTAATAAAACACCAAAATATATATATTATTTATAATCAAAAACATAAATCACATTAAAAAAGACATTTAATTTTCACAAACAATTGTTTTGACAAAAAAAAATTTTGAGTCTTCAGTTTGATTGCAATTTTATGGCTTTAAATGAGAGACAAAATTCACATTTAAATCACTTTTAGCCAAATGTTTTCAATTTAATGGACGATATCTATTAAAAATTATAAATAAAACAACAAATATTATATAAATTATAATACATTTTTTGACTAAAATACTTGAAAAAAATCAATTATAATAATAATATCTATGTGTTGTTACCTATAATATAATATAAATACAATTTATTATATTATTATATATGAGATGTTTATTTGATATTTTCTAAAAATGTCTAAATGTTTAACCACTGCACACATCGATAACATAGCAAATCATTTCAGCCATTTTTACAACACATTTATATTACACTCAAAACTAAATACTAATACACATAACGTCATAGAATATAGAAACACAAAGTCAGTCCGATAACAACTCTATTCAATAGAGTATTATTACAGTTACAGTACTATTAATACTAATACTAATAACAGTAGAGTTGTCAACGCAATTGTCATTCAAATAGTGTTTTGTTTGATTCTATCATACATTCTATCATATTATTGCCAACACATGTACTGTTTGTCTATTTATTTGATTAAATCAACACTTAATAGAATACTCTATAATATAGACATTCAATTGAATAATAATAATAATATTTATTAATTGCAATAACTTTGTTATAAACTATCAGTTATTTGATGTAAACTAATCGACATTCAAAACAATAGTCAATTGATTTGATTGACAAAACGTGGTATTGGTTTGACTGTTTAATTGATAATTTATAACTAACTGACCATGATACTAATATTTATTTTTTCTAACTATAGTTTGATGGTTTGAGACATTTTTTGATTGTAATATTTATCAATTTGGACACATTTGGTAACATTTGTTATAAACTACTGTATATATGATATGATATATGAAATTATAAGTTTCACTAAATATATATTATTTTTTATAGATTTTATTTACAGTATTAACTAAATTCTGTAAAAAAAATTACAAAAATAAATAGATCTCTTTTCTGATAATGAATTTATAAATTATGATATATTAGTTAATAAAAATTAAGACTTTAGATATACATTACTTTATATAGTATATCAATAAATGAATCGTAAAAACATAAAAAATTATAAGACTTTATAATGTCTTTCTAATAATTATGACAACTATTTTCTATATTATAATAGTATAGTAATTTAAAAATTAATAATTTATAAATAATCGACAGATTGTTGATTTGTAAACATTTTACTGCATATTATCAAATTTGCTTTATTTTTTAAATACACGCAAATGTCATAAATTTATATTACTTTAATAAATTCATTCAAATTAATAGTTAATTTGTGTAAATTGTTGTCATATATTGTATAATAATTTTAATAGTGGACTATCATTACAACTACGGTAGTATTATAAGTATAGTTTATTACAATTACTATATTAAAGTTGCAGGAACAATTTACCATACATTTGAATGAATCTTTAGTCAAATTTACTATACAATCTATAATTAACAAGTACATTTTTGAGTATTCAATAATTAGTGAAGAAAAAGTGTAAAATATATTACACTATATTTTTTATAAACTATATTTAAAGTAAGTTAATTAAAACTTATGTAAAGTATATTTGGTAACACTAGTATAGAAGTCGTATTAAGTTAAGTTTTATTTAAATTTTACGCTTTATAAAAAGTTACTATAATTATAATTAATTTAATAATATGTAATTATTTTACACTATAAACTAGTTTTCATAAACATACAAATCTCTAAAACTAAGAAAAAATATTTTGGCATAATTTATAGTAATTATTTAGTTTATGTTAGAAATATATTGTTTTTAACAAATTTATCATAATATTATTATTTACGCAAATACAAACTATTTATATTTGTTATAATAATTATCAATGAACTTTATTTACAGGAATTTGCAAAAAAATATTTGTTGAAAAAATTGAATGATAAATATATTATTTAAACAACTTATTGCTAAAACTTCATATAAGTTACAACATAAGGCATTATTAACAGCATTACAATTGTTTAATACAAAATTATCGATGGATTTGTCGACAAATTCTACAGCAAAACGTTTTTGTCAGGAATTGGATGTCAAAGGGAACGGTATTAAAATAGGAACTCATGATGGAGTCTTCCATTGCGATGAAATACTCGCCTGTTTTCTACTAAAACAATTGCCTCAATACTCGACGGCACAGATCATTAGGACCAGAGATGATAAACTACTCGATGAATGTGATGTTGTGGTCGATGTCGGGGGTGTTTATGATCCTAATTGTCATCGCTATGATCACCACCAAAGAGATTTTACTCATACCATGAGTTCAATACTACAAAACAAATCATTTAATATTAAACTCAGTTCTGCTGGACTGGTATTCACACATTTCGGACATCAAATTATTGCAAGACTATTGAATTGGGATAAAGATGACAACAAAACTGATGTAATTTTCGATAAAGTTTATGAAAACTTTATTCAAGAAATAGATGCCATCGATAATGGTTAGTCACTAATATTAAGTCAATCGTTTAAATCTTAATATTCACAATATTTATAAATTATCTGTTATTATAAGGCGTCAGCATTTGTGATGGATGTCAACAAAATTATAGGATCACAACAAACTTGAGCTCAAGAGTTGGTAATTTGATCCCCAGTTGGAATGAAACATCAGATGACGACATCTTATATCAGCGGTTTCTAAAAGGAATAGAATTAGTTGGCAATGAATTTAAAGATAAAGTTGATTACTATGGAAGTGTTTGGTGGCCCGCAAGACAACTCATACAACAAGCCATCGATTCAAGGATGACAGTCCATCCTTGCGGAGAGATTATTGAATTGACACAAGTGTTTCCCTGGAAGGAACACTTATTTCTCTTGGAGTCGAGTAATCAAATCAAACCTGAGGTTAAGTTTGTTATATTTCAAGACACCAGAGGAAAGTGGAGAGTACAAGCCGTTCCCATCTCTTCTCATTCATTTGAATTGCGAATCCCATTATTATCTGATTGGAGAGGACTTCGAGACAGCGAACTGAGTAAAATGGCAGCAATTGATGGCTGTGTCTTTGTTCACTCCAGTGGCTTCATCGGTGGTAATGACACTCGTGAAGGAGCCATTCAAATGGCATTCAAAACACTTGATAATCGCCGACAAAGTTCAGCACCAAATTCTTAGCTTATTTCATAAGATATCGTTTTAATACATAAATGCATTAATATTTTTTAATTTCATTGCATTCACTGTCAAAATCCTGTTTTGAATATTTTTTAATGAGACCAATAAAAAATTGATAATTTCAATGATTAATACATAATTTGATAATTAGTAACTTAAATTGAAAATTTATCAAAAATTTATTTAAATATTTTATTTATTTCATTCAATTAATTACAAAAAAACAAAATTAAGCTAAAAATATTCAAAAGATTTTCATTATAAATATTTATTTCTCACATTACATATCAATCATAATATCAAGAGATGAAAATAAATATTTTCGAAATGCATTGATTAGACATCAAATTTTTCAGTGTATTCTCAAATATAAGAAATTTTTATGTATTAAAATCGGAAAACTTGTGTATTATTTGATTACAAAATCTCAAAAATTGCTTTTTAAGTTTTATTACTATTTCATTATACCATAAGTATATATATTTTTTATTTGTTCGCGTCATTGAAAATAATGACAATTACTTAAATAAGTTTTTAATTAAAACCTTTTTTATGCTTTCAAAAAATGACAAATTTTATATAATATGTAATAAATTAGAAATATTTGACAAATAGAGAAAAATTTGCAGTGTTTTCACATTTTATTAATCGGTTAATAGTATCGATCACTTCATTTCACTTACAATAATAATAATAAATTTAGATAATAACTCAAAAGTGTTGATGACATTAAATTATTTGCCGCCCTTTCTAAAGGCATCTTCTATGGCCTCCTGTGACGCCTCCTCGAAATCGCACGCCTGTACGTACTTATAGACGCCCACTAATGCCTTCTTGAGGGCGTCATATGAACTCGAGTACAACATCTTCTGTTTGATTTTCGAGCTCTCGGGACACCTAACCAGACATCAAATCAACAATCAGTTAATAACTAACACTAAACAACACTATCTCTAAACATATGACTTAACAGTAATGCAAACGTCAAACGCATTGCACATATTATTGCCATAAATAGTCATAAAGTTAGACATTGAGAGATGTGGTAATCAATGTTAAAGAGATAACAAAATCATTACAAACCAAGTCATGAGTACGAGTCGATCGACACTCATCGTTGACTTTTCCTGTCCGGCGTCCACCGGAATGTTTGCCGGGAAGTCAAACACACAATAACGACATTCATTCTTGAAGTTCTGAAGCTTCTCTAAGAAGTCTACATAAGTGGCATCCCTTTCACCGGTTGACTCCACATCAATCACCTGTTAATACAAACTGTCATTAGTATCCAAATCAATGACCGGCATAACAATCATAATACTACTGACCCTTTCATCTTTAATGTGATAAATGATATACCGGTGCTTCTTATCCTTTTTCACTTCCTCGTAGACGGTCTTGGCTTCCGATGAGACGGTCACTCCTGAAGACTAATCATTAAAACAGATAAATCACTCATTAGATGAAAAAGACTTAATTGTCATTAAATTTATGTGTCTCTCAAAAGTCGTTCAATTTATTTCATTCATAGCTCTCTATCAAAGTTGTTATAAATTCTTAGGAGACGAGCATTTGTGCCATAAATAGCACTTAACTTCAAGAGTCATGTCTTTTAAAGGTTATCCTTAACGATGACTCTCATGAATGAGCCGTCAAATCATAGCAAACATTAAACACACACTTTGTCTTAAACTGTCAGCTATTTTACCATTCATTAGATACCTATTGATGAATCTGTCATTAATTGTGATAACAATTATCACCATTTGGTCAATCAATCAATCGTTTATCTCGATTGTCAACAACTAAATCAATCAATGGTATTAAATATGTGACAAAAAGGGCGTTAACGTCATGCCATCACTTGAAAGACAGCAATTATCACCAAATAATGGTCACAATTATCACCAAATCATACAAATGCTTACCATTGTGTTGTTGTAGTGGTTGTTGTTATCGGTGAGCAGTTAGACAATCACTTGAATATTGGATTCAATGAGTTATTAGTGGTGTCTTTGGCTGTAATGACTGAGATATAGTCAGAAATGGCGGAACTGTTATAAGCACTGATAGAGCGCTGTTAGACAGCAAACACCGACAGATATATTGTGTATACAACGCGTGCGCACTCTATGCTCATCTGCACCTATAGTCACGACCCACACGACTGTCCCCAACACGTCATGTATAGCAACCAATGACTAAACAGTTAATACTATGAAATCACTCCTCAATTAAGTATTTATTTTATACCAAATATAAGCACAAAACTCATTATTTTCAGTCAAAAACTTTAAACTAAAGCAAACTTTTTATATATTATATAAAAATGTTTTTTTAAACAAAATGTTTGTATATTTGACACATACTGTACTTACCTATCAATACATGCAATACAAGGATTAGCCGGTTTAGTATATACTGTATTATATGAGATGCTATGACACCGATAGGCCCTTCACTATAGACTACTTGTGCTTACCATTGATATTATGACTCATTGTTTGTCGTTTTGTTGAGTAAGCAGTCAGTGATTGCTTGAATGGATTCATATTTATTGTACACATTTAACAAACTTTTCTACTATTATTAACAAACTATAAATCATATATAAATTAACATTAATTTCTATATGATATCTATTGTACAGTAAATTGCAATTCATTTAACTCATTACTCATAATCACTTAATGATTAGCTAACTGTCCGATAAAAGTGTTTATATTATATTGTATTAGTATTTTCAACAAAAAAAACATTTGAATAAACTATTGCCTGTATTTTGTGATTATGATTTGCAAATTGCAATAAAAACTTTGCATTTAATGTTTTTATTCAACTTTTTTTGTTTATCCGATATGAGATTATTTTATATTAATTATGTTATATGATATTCAATTGTAAATTCGCTATATTATTAATTCAAAATTAATAATATAATTAATTTAATTTTAATGAAAAATAGAAATAATAGATTAGGAGAATATTTTGAAAATAATTATGAATATACGATAACTATTGATTTTTAAAAATTATTTTGAATATTATATTGCATTGATTTATACAAAATGTCTATTTTATCATTTGCTAAAAAACGTGTAATAAATAATATGTTTAAAAAACAAAAATTGTTTGTTTAGTAACATTGTATGTACAGTATGTCATGTGTTGCTATTGTTTGCATTATTCTGTAATACTTTTAACATTTTTAATATTTTTATGATTATCTCATCCGACCCTAATTTTTGCCACTATTTGATGCCTTTTGATCTCTAGTTTACATCACAATTGGCATAATTCCCGGCCTCTTGTCTGAAGTCAACTAATCTTCTAATTTAACGTAAAATATGTGTACATATAATACACAACATTAACTGAATTTTGAATGTAATGCTCAGACACAACATAATGAAGATCTCAAATCTTATACATTATATTTAGAGTTGAGATAACTTTTACTCAACTTTCCTTAAAATTTCTCGTAAAATATTTGTATAAAAATACGACTTTATATATTTATTGTTCATTTATTGTTAGAAATAATAAATATTTTATTTAAGCACTCAATCAAAGTTTAATTAAGTGATTTTTAATAATTTTATGTTAATTTCATTTAAATTAAATTTGTAATTTGGTTAAATATGGTTAACTTATAAATCATAAATTATTATCATATCAAACAATATTCATCACAAATATTGTATAATATATGAATAGTTGGGAACTTGTTTGGAAATATGAGAAATATAACACTTGGAGAAAATAATTGAAGAAAATTCTAATCAAACACTAATTATATGATAACTACTTTACTGTAAAACCAAATGTTATTTCATAACAAAAATCTTAATAAAAACTTTTGGATTTGTTTTAAGGAATTTTTGTCTGTCTATTGCATAAACTCTATACTATAGAGTCTATAGTATGCTATGAAAGGCATACAATTAATATACTGTAAATACTGTATATATTTTTGAACTCATTTAGTGACATATTTATTGCAAACTTAGTATACATTTATCATACAATTTATAAAACATAAATGGATGCAATTATTTTGAATTTTTAATCGTTTTACATTTACATTAAATTGTTTTATTTTTGATTAATTACTGTATAATTAATTGACACCTAATGTCTATTAATTGAAACCTATTAATATTGTGGACAACACTCGTCGGCAAACTATCCAAACATATGCTGAGCTCTGCTTAGATCACTATTCGTAACAATGAATACATGAATGTTATCTTAAAGAAAATTTTTGTTTCAAATTTTAAAAATAAAAAGTTATAATAAAGTGTTTGCTATGATTTGGGTTTTCATTACCCAAATAAATTGAACACATTTTCTTTAACAGATATATCATATATTATAAATTAAAAGATACTAAAAATTCGAATTAATTTTTCAATTGCTAACAATGCAATCTTACAGTTGTTGATAGAGTCGAAAATTAAGGACTTTTTTAAATAGGAGTTTTTTTTAGAAAAGCATGCAATGCTGGTAAGCAAACAGTGAGAGGAATGGTAGCAATGTGTGGGTGCAGTAGTGTATATGTAATACATTGTGTATATACTGTATGTGTGTATCAGTGCCTGAAATGCCGGTGCCGTTTGGGTCCGCCTTTTATGACAAATGGTCGACACAAACATAACAATCAAAGCATTATTTGATTGACAATAAGTGTTTGTATTTTTTAATTTTATTTAAGTTTTTATATATTTTTTTGTTTGTTTTTGTGTTAATATAGAAATTAATTGCCATTAGTTACACATTGTATGAAAAATAGTGATTGAATTGCATTGAATGCAATGCATTGCAAATCATAATAAACTCAATTGAAATCAATGTGTGCTTTGATTTTGTTGTGAATTCAATGCGTTTTGAAAGTGCTGTCAAATAGTGGTTATATTTGACTGCAATATCAATAAATTGATTGATCGGAGATAATGAGTGATTTGATGGATGAGATGAAGACATTGACCAACGATGAACTCAAACATCGTTTAGAAACCGACTTTCAGTTTTCTTGCGGACCGATCACTACATCCACACGTAATGTCTATCTTAAGAAATTGGTAAAACTGATCCAAGAGAGAGAAGATATAAATATAAATATCAATAATAGTCACGACAATAATCATCAAAATAATGGCACCGATGAAGGCAATGGTAACGACGACTATGAAAGCACTGTCCGATTATCGGCTAAATCGTCTCCATCACGGACTCGCAATTCTCCGCGAAGACGACTTGAAGAGGAACAGTCTGTTGCGACCAAAACATCAACGCCGAAGAATAAGCGCCATTCAACTCAAACTGTCTCAACAGCTAAGAAATCTTCGAGTAAGTCAAGAAAGACAATAGCCTTCATGAATGAAGAGACAGCCGCCGGACACTTGAAAGAGCTGAACAGTCACTCATTGAACAACTATTCTTCTGAAAGTTCAGAAAATGATGAGAAAATCGATGAAAGTTTATCAAAACTACGGAAATCTCCGCGAAAGAAGATGATGAGCCCACAGACGCCGCGTCCTTTACAAGAACAACCATCCGGTTCTCAAAGAGTGCCTTTTGCCCGACCATATCCACCATCATTGACTCCAAGTGCATCAAAAATGTCAAACATTTTATCACTTACTCGTCCACCACTGCGTCGATCCCCACAATCTGGTTCACAGATGTCCTCAAAACTGGCTAATTATAGTGACAGTGAAGACACAGAACAGGAACAGAAGAGTACTGATTATATTCGTGACCGTTTGCTCCGTCATAGACCTGGTTTAAGTATCGGATCGTTTGGTAAAAAGGGTCCTTCGGGTGCAAACGGCACGGGTTTTGAAGACGCCAATAGTTACGGCTCGACTTCTAATTTTATATCGTTTGCAATATTAGTTATTGTCGTCCTTTTCTTTGTTTTCATCTTTTCCTTCTATTTCTACACACGAATCAGTTCATCGCCAAAACCGACCGTTGATTTATCCAATTTTGAATTTATTCGCGAAGATTTGGTAGCACCGATATGTTTAGATAATGATCCTATTGGTAGCAATGATTTATGTCTTAAATACCAATCAGACATAATGCCAGCACTTAAGATTGCCAAAGAAGTCAAGAATTTTATGGATAAATCAATTTTAATTAATTATTGTGGATCTGATTCAAGAGTCCAATCGTTTTCCGATTTTAAGTTATTGTCGACATTGACTATTAAGAGAGGAATCAGAAATCAAATAGAGATTGAAAGAGAAGGAAGAGATGGAATTAAAGATGATTTGTCTGATGATGTGGTCTTTGACAGAGATTTTATAAATGCTGTTTCATTGATTCAACTCAATCCCAATTGGCAATTGTTAGTTACAGGAGATAACTTGGAGCCTCTTTCAGCCATTACCATAAGCGAGGATTATCCTCTTAATCTACCATTTGGTTGTCAAGCGTTTATAATATTGAAATTAAATTTATATAAAATATTTAGTGCATTATTAATCATTTTTATGACGATTGCGAGTATTTTCTATTATAAAAGATCGAAAAAACTCGCCACAGAAGAGCAGGACTTGATCTATGATTTAGTGGAAAAAAGTCTTGAATTGCTTCAGTCACCCGATAATCCACAATCAATGCCTGTTTTGCATATTCGTGATACACTTCTTTCGCCATCTGAGCGAAAGACATCAAAGTATAAAAAGATTTGGAATAAAGTCGTCAAACACATTGAATCGACTGAATCCAGAGTTAAAGTAGACATTGAAAACATTGAAGGAGACGATTACAAGACATGGAAATGGGTGGCCACTAATGTTGTCAATAATGATAACCAAAACATCAGTGCTTCAACTATAATACGCACCGGTACTATTGAATGGCAGGGACAGGCATTTAATAATGATCATAATGTAACTGCTCCACAATCTGTGTCCACTGCCACTAACGGTACGCCGGCATCTAAGCCAAGTTTTGCAGCGCCGACATCTTTCTTGAAGATTAGGAATATGTTTAATGAAGAAACAAAACTCTTAAATCCCAACGGATGGAAAAACAAGATTCGCAGCGCTGTTCTCGAGAAGATATCAATTGCAGCCAAAAGTGGTAATCATGGCGTTCTTCATCTTGAAGTGGAAGACTCGCCCGAAGGATTAGTTTACGTAAAATGTGATTCTATAGAGTCAGCGACTGATGCATTCAATGCACTTCATGGTTGGTGGTGTCAGAAGAAGTTAGTGTCCGTCAAGTTTCTCAAACCCGATCGCTATCACCAGAGATTTCCGGTTTCCACTCACAACAAGACTCCCGTTCCACTCACAGCTCTTTAAGACGACTTGTTTTTTGTTTAATTATTCGTGATTTTTGTTTAATCGATATATTATTTCATTATATTATTATTAATTTTCTCATAAATCGTTTTTATTCTTAAACTTTCTATACCTCTCTTAAAGTAATTTTAATTTTATTATCATTTGTATTATTCATATGTTTAATAATAATTTTTGTGTCAAATTTCATTCATTAGTTCATTAATACAGTAATTATTCTTAATTTTTGGTTTTGTGTATACAACATATCTATACCTAGTTTTATGTTAATACAAATTTATATATTTTTCTTTTATCTGTTAATTATAAATAATACAATACGTTGAATAATGAATTACCTTAATATCCATTAGTAGTACAAACGTACTGTAATAACAACTATTGATACTTTAAATAATGTTATATTTGTTTTCATGGGTTTTAAAACAAAACAGAATTTATTAAAAATTTATATTTTATAGTGAAATGAAATATAATTTTTTGTGATGTTTCACTTAAATTTTTGAAAAATAATTATAAAGATTATATATTATAAAATAATAAAAAACAATTTATACTAATTATATGGCATTATTTGACATTTTATTAAACACTTCCGTTAACTACAATATATCTACTAATAATATTATATGAAATAGACTACGATTACTGAAAATGATTATTTTGTTAGTCATTGTTGTGAAATGTAAGTAAAATATTTGGAAAAATATGTTTATAATAAATATTAATTACTAAACAATTAATTAGTAATAATATATACAAAATTTTAGACTAAATTATTAATTGTGGAAATCAAATAGATCTATAGTAATTCAAATAGTTGTTACTGTATTTTTTAGCTCTCTCTCTCTCTCTCTCTCTCTCTCTCTCTCTCTTTCTGTACACATAAAGTTGAATATATTAATTAAAGTATAAAATATTAATGAATTTAAAAATAAAAAACTTTTGCAGAGAAATACTTGTTATTAGATTACTTAATTAAATGGTAATCATAATAAGTTTAGTGTGACAGTTGTCAAATTTATATCAGATATTACAGTATAATACTGTATAATGATTACAATGTTTCAAAACAATTAAATAGTACTTTAATTAGTCATTTAAGAATATTAAGGTAACAGCGCTTAAGTAGTGCTACAGATAATGACATAATTAACCAATGAATTTGTCATTTATTATATATTATTCATATAATCTTGAATAACATTTAATTTACTGTATATAATGTGAAAATATTTAGTTATTCAAATCCTAGATCTACCATAGGATCTAATACAATATACTTCACATTTCTATTATACCGGTATAAGTTATATGCTGTACAATATAATGATAATATATATTTTACAAATGTGTTAAAGAGTGCAGTAAAACTTCAAATAATAAATAAACAGTAAGTTTTAATACTATTTTAAATATTTTAACTAAAAAATTACTCTACAGTTTTAATACATTGAATAAATCTGTATAAATTAAGGATATCATTAAGTAATTGAAAATTCAGTTTATATTTCAGCTCAATATTCAAAGGTTTAATAATAAATGAAATTAGTTGCACTCTTGTGTCAAACTTTAAATTATAGATAAAACATGTATTAATTACTTGTTTTTGTAAATGTTTTTTAATTTAACAAAATATTTTCATATAATCTTAGATTATCTATAAAAACATTTTCAAAATTCTAAGTTTAATACAATTAAAACTGAGATTATTTAATAAACTTGTTAAAATAAATATAAAATAAAAGTTTTATTTAATTACACAAATATTTAACAAATAATTATTATTTTAATCATTTTATTATTCAGTTTGATGTTTTTATTGATTCAAAGATTATTTGAAATTATTTTATTAAATTATTTAAAATTATATTACCAGTATATTATTTAATATTACTGTTTTATAAATTCAATAAATTATCTCAATTTTCAACTTAAAAATAAATTCAGCGTAATTTTGCATCACTAGTATAAATGAAACACAAAAAATCTTTGTTTACAGTATTTTTACATAATATAAATCTGTAAATAAATAGTATATTCAAATGGTTTGGAACGATTAGAGACGTCTAAATACAAGGGGTGGTAAAACTTGAAAATGTATAAAAACAAGGGAGGGAGGGGGGGGCAAATTAAAATTTAAAGTTACAAAATATTTTTATTCGTATGGTTAAAAACTCGCATTATTAACCATGGCTTACATATCTCCATACGGGGAATTAAACAACATTTAACGGTAATTATGTTACAAATAGAATATTATTTTAAGACAATTATATCTATTTTATATAATGTTATTTATAAATAATTTTTATATTTTATATTTTAAATGTTAAATAATTATTTATTTTTAAAATTTTAGTCAAAATAAAATAAATATTATCAATTTAAGAATTAGGTGAGCTTAAATATTAACAGAAAAATTGAAATAATTAGTATTACATTACTATTTATGTTTTCCATTTTACCCCATTCTATACCTCCTCTAAAATCCAAAACCTTGCTTAACCTGATTAATGCAATTAATATAAAGTATTAACAAAAATTTATAAAAATGGTTAATAATATTGAAATTAATATATATACAGTACATCAGATATAATAACAAATTAAAATAATAATTATATAATATAATTATTTGCTATTCATTTAATTATTTAAAAAAAAAATATTTTTAAATCTACTGTTTTACAAAAATTCATATACAGTATAATTAAAACTTGACACTAATTTATATGGAATTTTTTAATTTTCTTCAAAATTATCTCTAAGATTAGATTATATCTTAATAAATGAAAAAATATAATTTTAATGATATATTCCTTAATTACATTTATATTTATGAAATAGTAGTCTACAGTAAATGAATATTATATTGTAGAGTGACATTGAAAGTGATGTCTAATAATTACTTATCACACGATATACCGTATAATACTATACTATTGCATCAAAATTGTCTTAAAAATGAATTTATCTGATTAAAACATCAACAAAAAGAGTTACATATTATACAAAATTAAAGTTATTAAAAAAAATAACAATTGAGTTGTTTGTGAACAAGTTATTTAAGTTTTCAAACTACCAGTGCTTGTGATGTAAATATTGTGTCAATAGGTGTCGTAAGTGTTGAAATGGGTTATGAATTGTAAATTTACGGCAAGTATTTGCAAACATTGAGTTGGACTCCAATATTGAAGGCAAGCATTGATTGAAGTGAATGAGTGAATGAATGCAAACATTCAATCGATTTGTTGTTATCAATGAGTGTTGTATTCATTATAATCACAAAATTAATTACTTTTAATATTTGTTTTATTGAATTTGTTATCACTATATAGTAATCAATATTTAAATGATATATATATTGTTGTTGTTTTTAAAAAATATCAATCATAATGTGATGATTAAGTGTATTAATGTTAAGATTATAATGAATGATATGATAATTATGTAAAAATGAAGTGCAAAACATGTCTTGAGTGCAAATGATGGCAAACTTATTGTTTGATTACATTAAGACATCGATGTCTACTATCAATTGATAATATCAATGTAAACAATAATCAACTGTAAGCCGTAAGTCAATCAATACATATATATATATATATTTAGACAATTAATTGAAATATTAATAAAACCATTGATTGTGTGACCGATTGACACATTTGTTGTTATTGATTATTATTAGTTATATATTAAATAAAATATTTTACTTAAGTTATCACATATTTGTCTTATTTAACTTTATTTCATTATATTTCTGTATATTATCAATATTTAATAGTTATAAAAGTTATCTATAATTTCATTTACAGCATTATATAATTTATAATTTGATTATTGTTGTCATAAAAATTTTGATATAAAATCACGATTATGTCAAACATTTTGTTTTATTGTTTTTTTTTGTTTATTGTATGAATAATTTAATAGTAATATTATTTGGACAATGAATAACAATTATTATTGAATTAAAAAGCATTCAAACATAGGCTTAATGGGAGAGTTTCGCCAAAAATTATAATTTGATGTTAAATGAGATAAATGTTTGTATTATTTAAATGCAATGAAAGTCATTGAACTAAATATAGTGACAAAAGGAGTCAAAAAAGACTATTTGATTCATAAGCTGTTGTTTTAACTAAAATACCATTAAATATGTGTCAAAACAAAACAACTCATGTTTTGTCTCTTCACATGTGATTTTGCATTCAAAACGTATTTATATTTATTTACATATTATTGCTAAAAATGGTCAGAGATTTACTAAAAATAACTCAAATATCGTAATTATAATATTATAAATTTTTAAATATAGTTATTTAAATTTTTATATATCATACTAGAAATTGTTATTCATAACTAATTATATAATTTTATAAATTATTATATACTAATGAGATTTGTCTAAATAATACTGTATTATACATTACATTGACTCTTATTTAGGATAAATTAAATATGTTATGTTGAATAACATAATTATAATTACAGAAATAATTTGAATAAAAATTTAAAAATTCAATTACTTTTTAATGATTGTATACATTTCATTTATATCAATAATATTGACAAAAATTTGTTACACAAATATTTATCTATAATTATTTATAAAACAAGTTATTTATGATATGTCAGCTTTAATTTGATTATATTTATAAATAGTATAAATTATTTTTATTTAATAAAAATTTTTCTCATTAATTATTTACTTTATTTTTTTTATAAATTCATCAATTTTTTTTAAAATGAATTGTTGTTGTTTTTTCTAATAATATTAACTCAAGTTATATTATAAAAACTACAGTATAATTTTTAAATAAATGAGTAGATATTTATTTTTAGTTTATGTAATTTGAAAACTTAGTGATTATGACAACATATACTCAACAAAATTTAAATGTTTTATTAACTCGATTATCAAATTATACATTCATGTAAAAAAATTGAAAAATTATTTTAAATAAGAAATTGAAAAAAATAATTGTTTTTAGATTTAAAAAATATCTTTTAATTAATCAACGATTTGGAAAATGAATAAATAATTGCTTTTTAAAGCAATCAGTAATAAATTCCTTATTGTTTTTAGAGATAGTTTTTTCAAGCTGTTTGACATGTTTTTATTATAATTGTTTTGGACAATAGATTTTTGTACATTACATTTGTTATAACTAGTGTATTGATTAATAATTTTTTATACTCTATTAAATAGTTGTTATAATAGTTGCTAAAAAAAGTCAAATAGTTGTTAAAATAGTTATTTAAACTGTATTAAATAGTTGTATATAGTTGCCAAAAAAGCCAAATAGTTATTGAAATAGTTATTTATTTTCTTATAAATATTTCAACAGATATATAATTCACTTGTTTTCAGCATATTTACAAAAATGGTTTATATAAATAAACTAATTATTTCTATTGTTAAAAAAGTAATATGAGTTGATAACAGTTTACAGATTTTATATAATTTATATAACTATTACTTTTTGTTTTTACATATATTTGTGCAATATTTTACAAATTAATGCTTATATTTTTCAAAATATATGAAATAATTATTTATAAGTTTTTATAGTTTCTAACCCAACAAATAGTTATTTATAGTTATAATAAAATTTCGGAAATAGCGTCCACTGGTCAACTTCGGTGGACATACTAAGTCCCAGTTATAAGCGTTGAACCGACAAAATAATTTTTTTTAGTTGGAAATCAAGACACTAGTTATAACTTTCAATTTATTTTACGCTTTAATTTGTGGTTAATGTCATTAGTTTAGGTTTGACTCTTATGGAAATGTGTTTAGTATTTTACAGTATATGATTGTATTATGAATATAAAATTGTTTTCAAAAATACATTCAACTGTTTTCTTTAAGTCTATTTTTCTATGATTTCTAGGAAAAGACAATTGATATTTATGATAATTTATTATCATTTATACATTACAAGTTATTTTGTAAAACGATTTTTCACATTATATAATAATTATAATTTTTATAATTAAAAATTTGTAATGGAAAGTTTTTTTTAATTATAGAATATTGAAATTGTATTAAAAGGTAACATGTAATTTTTATAAATAGTAAGTTTGTTATTTGTTGTACCTTAAATATATTATTTTGATGTTAATATAATTAAATATAATAAAATATTTTTATTTTACAAAACTTTAAATTTTATAAAGAACTTAAAATTTAGTATTTAATAATTTTGATTAATTACTATATATTATTGTAAATAGATTTTGAATATTTTTTTATAATTTTTGTTTCATTTTTTATGATTTATAAACTTTTGAATATTAAATATTGAATATAGCTTTAAATGATAACTAAATTTTTTTTATCAAAAATTTTTTTTTATTTGAACAGTTAAAGAATGAGAGCTAACTTAAAGAATGATCGATTGTCATAATAATTAATAATGTCATCGATGTCTGAATTGGCACAAAGTGGTCAAAAAAGCACAATTTCTAGTGATTTAGTTGATAATTCAGCTCAAAATAATGACATTAATGATGGAAGTAGTGGTTTGAAAGATAATGTCATTGTTAGTGATGTGTTGATCAAACCAGATGTTGTCAATTGTTCCGAGTGTTTGACAATAGATTGCGGTAATAATAGTAGTTTGATAGGACCTGAGAGTTCAATTCGTGGCACTAATGGTATGGAGACTGATATGAGTCGAGTCAGTCGTGTGGATGGCATGCGTACGACCGGCGCTGACTCGACTCGCAATCAGACACCAGATGTTTGCTCAGTTAGTCAACACACAAATGCCACCGACACTGACGGTAGCGATGGAGTCGACTGTATGCGTGAAGACCCTATTAAAGGGGATCTCAACTGTCACTTCATAAGCTCTTCCATTAATACTAATCTTCAACAGTCTGATAATGAAGTCATTGTCATTGAGACTGTTGTCAAATCAGATTCACAAGAAGTCACACTAATTACCGATACGACTGTCAAAACTACAATTCATTTAGAAAATAAAAATTTTAACCAAAGTTGCAGTGAATTAACTCAAGAAATTGTCACAAATACAAACTCTAATAATAATAATACATATAATAACTCAACCAATACTATGTCTACTACGACAACAAGTCGTCCAAAACAATTAAAATCATTGTTAAAGAAAGGAATTTCCGAAAAGTCAATGAAAGGCAACGTAAATAAAGGTCACAAAAGAGTAAAATTCAGTGAAACGATGCAAGTCTTCTGTGATGACTGGCCTCAGAATCTGATGCCACAAATAATAGCCTTGAAATCTCCCACCGATTTTAATTTGGTTGAAGTCCAGGGCTATATGTTTGAGCCACCGGTCGAATACCAGGATTTACTACCATTTGAACCGCCGCCCGATTATCGGGACTTTATTGCCAACTCTTTGTGTGCTTTTGAGAACGATCTCAGTATTGATTATATTGACGATGATATGGACGACGATGTGATAAAAGCAAATAAAAGCGAACAAAAGTTTATTAATGAGATCAGCTCTAAGTGGGAATCTATGATATTAAATAACAATGAAAGTCTTGAAGAGGAACAGATTATTGGTGTTCTCAAAGAGGATGCAATATTACAAGCCATTGGCAGCCATATTAGTTTACCAGACGAACAGCTATGTCCAGAAGATTTTCCGGTTCACTTTCACAATACAAACAATGAAACGACGTCTAAATTAACTGAAAATGATTTGAGTGATATTACTTCAGATGAAGGCAACGACGAGTCTAGTCCTACCGGATCTCTACAGGACTTACAAAGTGACTCCAGTATTACTTCTCAGGATACCATCATTTTGATCAACACTGACTCCAATGGTGACTCCAACAACCAATTTGAGATATTTACTAATAAAAATAGTTTTAATGATTTACAAACAACGAATCATGACTTTACTAATAGTGATAATAACATTAAGACACTGCACGAGGATATACTTAATGACTCAATGAACAGCAGGAGAACAAGTGATTCAAATGATTTGTTTGAAACTAACACTTGTGTCGATGGAGTCGTTAAATCAACAGAAGATGAGTCAACAAGAGGTACAACTTATGATAATAGAGATAAAGAGAGTGAAGATTATGATGTGAATGGAGACAACCGGAAACAGATTAATAAGTTTAGTGATGACAACTGTGACACTCGTAATAATCACTCGCAAACATTCAAACGGAATCTCATGTTTTACGAAAATATGTTATCCGATAAAAGTAGCGACAAATCAATGGATAATAATAGCATTACTACCAAAACAACAGACAAAGTTATAAAACAAACTGTAAGTCATTTTATTATTGATAATAATCCAAAATATCCAATAATTACACAAACAGTTAGCGCCGGTAATGCTAATAGTGATAATTGTATGAATAATACAAACAATACTATAAATACTGATAAACATAATGACATGTTTGTGGAAAACAAGCAAATGTCAGATGAAGTCACTAATAAAGCCATGAATGCCAATGATTTACAAATAAACACATCGTCAACATTAACTATGAGAGCACCGGCAGCACCACAACAGAGCCAACAAAACCAACTACAAACACAATCAAACACTAATAACTGGTCGACCGATGAGTTTATAATAGAATATACCTCAGAACCCAAAGCATTAGTTCCTTCCAAACGGACGGCCTCTCTGTCCAACTTTATGGTCCCTCATATGACTGGCAATTCTTTGAGACAGTCAAACACTAATATCAATCATAACATTCAGTATTTATCGCTCAATAGAAACGGTGAGATTTCTAAGCAGTGGAACCATACCATTGATGCACATAATAAAAGTAGTCTACAATTACCCTATAATTTACAACCAAATCAACGTTCCCTATCACCCAATCCAACACTAATTGCTAATAACAGTAGATCAGTATCTCCTCAACCACCACCATATTATCAAAGTCGACCACAATATGTTTACAGCAATCCTCCTCGAGGTCCAACCTCTCAAGCAATACCAGTGCAAGTAATGTATAACCGAATTGCTGGACAAAACCAGCAGCCAGTCATGACATTACCAATAATGAGTCAAACATTAGGACATCTTCATAAGCAACCCCCGCCATATCACTATCATCTTCAACAACACAATGAGTTCCCAAATCCAAGTGAAATTAGAAGACGTGATGGTCTGAATGCTTATCCACATATTTTGAACCAAACACCACAAATTGGTTCATTACCTGTTCCACCAATTAATCATAACAATAATAACAGTTCATCACATAATCTCAGTAAAGATGAATTGGAACAGTTTGTTCAACAAGACATACAACGAACAGAAAGAATCAAAAAGAGGTATTCAATGTCTGAAGACGAAGACCCGTCATTCGGGTTCGCCCGCAGACCATCTGTTAGAGGAATTCGACCTAAATTTGGAACAACTGATGATATACTTAAACAAATACAAACTAAATCACACAACTCTAACGGTGCTATTAGTTCTCAATCAATCGGTAGTCATGTGTCGTGGCCTCAGATGACAAATAATAGAAATATTTGCATTAATAATACTAATATAAGTAATAATCAAATGTCACCGAATGTAAACCAAATTCAACAAAGAAGACCTCAAATAATCCACGTAAGACTTCAACCACAAAATGCAATGACTGTCCGTTCCCATGAAGCGCCAGTACTTGGAGCACATGGACCAGTAGGTGTATCTCAAATAAAAGCCGGAACCCTTCCCAGACCACAGTCGCTGATAGTTCAGTCAAAAGTGAGTGCCATTAACAGTAATGAGGGTCTTGTGATCCGAGTGCCGGCTAATACAACTCGTGATCAGCTGAAGCAACAAATTCAACGCCAACTCGAACAACAACTACAGACACGAATGAAACAAAAGATGAGTTCAATGCCAATGACTGCCACAAAGCCAGTGATGATGTCTTCCAACGATGAAAGAGGGGCTCCAGAAGGGGCCAGTTCTTCACCCAAACATTCTTCCGATGTGTTGTTTGCCAAGAATTTGAATACAAACTCAAATACAAATGTTGTTAAACCTTTAGACACGACGACAGCTAATAATAGACAACAAACTAATGATACAAAAAAACTAGTCATTAATGATGACAACACTACTAATAGTAATGTTGCGAAAGATAATGAAGGAGTCATTTATTACTCTATGAATGTCTGATCGACACTTTGATTGACTACTAAATTGTGTTTCAATTTTTGCCTAAATATATTATAATTGAAGACAATATATATTAATATTATAATTATGATAATTGTTTAACTGAAATGATATTTTGTTTGATAACTATCTGATTATTAGACTGTTTTTGATGACTGACTCGCAAACACTCGCACTTCGTTAAGACACTCTTTAAGCATAATATAAATAATTACAGAAAAAATGTTATCATAATATTTAAAATATAAGAAAAGATAAATATTTTTGTTTTATTGCAATTTTTATGTGAGACATATTGTGAAAATACATGAAAATATAAATCTAATGGATATTTAAATGCAAAACAATTTTACACATTACAGTATAATCAGCTCTTTTATTCAATAATACTGTATTTAACAAACATTTAACAGTAATCAAAATTGACAAAAATTTCTAACATATTGTTTTTCATAAATTATTTAATATTTAAACTGAAATCATATTCAATTTACATTGTTTTTTATTCATATTATAAGTTTTACCCTATTTTTACAGTAAACTCTCATATTATATACAGTAAAATAATTTTGTCTTAAAAAGGATGAGAGTCTGAGCGATAAGTTTTGATTTTGTGAATCGATTTTACATTTTTATTGACAGCAAATATTGTTTATTTAGTTAATAGTTTGTAATCTATTGCTACTATTATTATATAATACCTCAAAACCATTATGTCTTAGATTTTGATTCTTTAATATATATATATATATATATCATTTACAAAAGTTATATAATATAATAAGTTTTCATATAAATTTTTATTTACACTAATTCATTATTTTACATATATTTATATCATATTTTTATTTTGATTTATAATTTTTATTCCTATTTTGATTTCTCGTCAATGTTAATATAATAAATATATTTATAATTATTAAAAGATATTTGAAGTATTTGACATGTTTTGCATAGATTTATTGATTAATAAACGAATTGAAGAAATTATTGGTTAATTTATTATTAAATGATTGTTAAAATTGAAAGTTAAAACTGATTAAGATATCTTTGAATATTGCTATCAATGTTAGGTTAACTCAAATGTTAATTATAAATTAATTTTTTGTTAAAAATACAAATGTAATACTTTAAATAGTGTTAATTGAATTAATAAAAATAATAGTTTTAGATAATAAAATTGTTTTTATATAACAAAAAGTAAAGTATTTATCAAATTGATAATAAATTGCAACTCAACATTTTTTTTAATGAAAACAAATTATTTGTTCCGGTGATACATACAAATAAAAATACCCGATTTTACGTATTATATATTATTGTTTTATTATATTTTTGACATTTATTTTATGCTACATTTATGTAAATTAATTTTCTCAAAACTTCTTAACTAATTTATTATATTTACAATAAATAATTTTAAAACATTATATATACATATAAATTGGTTAATAATAATCAATGATTATACTAATATTCATTTAAACTAAATTAAAATATTTGTATATAAAATGTAATTATGAATTATATCGGGTATTTACTATAAATAATATTAACAAAATTTTAATATACTTACTAAATTGTTATTATTTTTTGTTTGTTTCAAAATAATACTAATTTTCTGAGTGCCGATTATTTATGAAGTTTATAAAACTAACTTTTAATGTATAATTAAAAAATGGTTTTCTCTAATGAAAATTTTAAAAGTAAATAAAATAATTAATAATTAGTCATTTTAAATATAATTAATATAATAGTTTAAAGAGTAAAAATAAATATATTGTTAAAATTGTAAAATAATGACTGATAAATTTGAAATATGTTAAATCATATTATTGTAAAATGATTTTACAATAAATGATTGTTAATTGAAAATAAAATTTTTGATATTGAATTATTGTCTATTTCTTAATATAGTTTTATTTTTTGACATTTTCTGAAATTACTATTTGATTATTACATGATTTTAAAAATAATAAATTAAATTATTTAGTTTATATAAAAATTGTATTATACAATAACTTTAATCTGAAATAATACTGTATATTTGTAACTTTTATATATTTTATTTCTAGTATAAATTATATAATATATAAATTTAAATTTGATATTAGTTTGCAAATTACATTTGCATTGAATATATAGAAAGTATAAAACATATAACTAGAATAAGTTTTATCGATCCATTCATTGGATTCATATTTGATGTGAATTTTGTTTATCTTATGCTTTAAACATATTAATAATATATAGTATATTAATAATTTAAACATCTTATAGATTTATAATACTATATTTACTCATTTAATATAGTAAAAAATATTTTTGAACTCTAAATTACATTAAATATCGATTAAGTTATAAATAATGTGAATGTGAAAAATGTATTTAAAGTATAAATGCTTATAAAATACCGCAATATTATGTAATATTTGTAATATGAGAAAATTTCTAGTAAATATCAAAAAGAAATTTTTGCTTAAAAAATAACATTAATTATTTAGTTTATTAAATAATCAATATCAATACCAATTAATGTTGAACGAAACTGTTGTCTTAATTTATACAACTGTTGTATTATACAATATATTTATTTTTGCATTCAATTAAATCATTTTTTATAAAAAGTTTCCAATTTTTAGAGAAATTTCTTTAAAATTTAAATTTCCCAAAACTTTAGTTTAAAAGCTTATCTCTTGTACTGATATGTATATTATGTTAATCTTATTGTCACAAAAGCATCCATTAATTTTTGATTTAAATCTTTTAATTATTGTATGACTAAAGCAACTTATAGTCACTAAATATCTTAAGACAACTTTATTGTCTTGAATTTATTTGTAAATATATTATTAATTATTAATATTGTATATACTGTACAATAATATCAAATATAATGACTAACTTCTTATTTAAATCTTATCTAATTTTCAAATAGCATTTCAAATAGTATTTCAATTTATGATGAATATTAATACTGTATTACTCATTGTATTAATATTAATGTTTAAATGCATGAATGGTTTGATGTAAATTATTATATCATATAAACTATTATCTGTGAGAACCGATAAAGTATTTTTTAAAATTTCAATATTAAACAAATTAAAAGTCATTAATAATTTACTGTGCATTTTATAGTTTTATTATAACATTTTATTATAAATATTTGCTCATATTTAGGTTATCACTATTTTATTTAACCCAAAATATTATACCGGTATTTTTAAAGTAATATTTAATAAATTATAATGAATTAAAATATGCAATAGTTTTAAAAAATATTCTATTATTACTTTAGTGTTGTTTTGAATTGAAAAACATTTTGAATCAATTTTAAGTTTAATGAAAGTGAATATTAAATACTAAAAATAAAAGTCTTATCATTTAACTCATGCCATCGTATTCTTGATGTTTATATTTTACATAAAATTAAAGGAAATTTCATTAATATTCATGAGATATGCTTTCTATTCTTTGCTTCGATAAACCAGAAATAGTATTGAATTGAGAGATAATAAATAAATATTTTATTTTACTGTATTTATGCTAATTAAATGTTTAAATGTGATGATCAAAAAATTATTGGAAAAAAATATTTTGTTTAACTGAAATTTTATTATTGTTATTATTATTAAACTGAAGTAAAACTTAAACTACTTTTTGGACTAATCATAGGTAAGTTATTTGCCTCCCTTTTCCTTAAACATTGATTTTAGTGTGTTTTTGTAAGATCTGCTGTTTATTAGCTGCAATGCTTAGCACAGGTGTTGTCATATAATTTTATGTTTATCTTTGCTTACAAATGTTTTGATAAAGTTATCTGTAATAATGTATTGCTATACTATATGTATCATACGTTAAATAAAAACCTATTATCATGTATGACATTAGATTAAACGCTATTATATATTATATATTTTTCTCTAAGCAATAGCCAGTAATGTCACCATAGCTAACAGTAACAGCACTTATCTATTGGTTTGTAGGGCTTATGTCACCACAAATGGCACTTTATTATAATAATCACATTATTTTTGCTACTTTTACCACAAAATTTATTAAAACAATATATTGTTATTAACAATATTAAAACGTATAATAATTATTCATTAAATTTTTACAACTTTAAAATCTCATATGAAGTCAATAATTATATTTACAATATTTTCAACTATTTTCATCTTAATTGTAAGTATTAATTATATAAATATTAAATGTATATTTCTTTATTTATTATAAATTTAGAATTAATTTTAATCATCACAATTTTATAAAATTAGATATAATATATTAGCAATTAAATTAAAAAAATAGTTTAAACCTATAAAACAATTTTAAAATATAAATATTTAAAGTTAAATTTCTAGTGTATTTTATGATTTTAATTATTAATGTTTTGTATATGTTTGGTAATATGGTAACAAAATTATCAAATGATTAATAAAATAAACTAATAGTTATAATTTTTCAGCACTTTAGTACAATAGAGTAATATTCTAATATAATATTAATTAGTTTATAAATAATTAAATATCTTATATTATATACCATTAATTTAAGAAACTTATTATACGTTTTCAATTATATTCTTTAAATCTTAATTACTATTATTTTTACTGAAAATATTTATAACTTGGAAATTATGTAATTTAACCTTTATATTTATAGCACAAACGTTTATTACAATATTTGTTGTATTTTATTGAGTTTAAAAGTACCAAAGATTGTTAATTAAATACAAATTTTTATTGAATTTAATATAAATTTAAAGAAATATTTTATATAAATTCAGAAGTTTTATCAATAATTATAAATAATTATTAGTAAAATGTTGTGCTTATGTTATATTAATTATTACTATAATTATAATTTATTGGTAAAGAAAGAGAGAGAGAGAGAGAGAGAGAGAGAGAGAGAGAGAGAGAGAGAGAGAGAGAGAGAGAGAGAGAGAGAAAGAGAGAGAGAGAGAGAGAAAGAGAGAGAGAGAGAGATAATTAAGATATAACAATATGTTAGTGTATGTGATTATAAGTACTATAATTAAAGTTATAGAATA